TGTGGGCTCCTTTATCTTCTCTGCACTTAATTTGGCAGTTCTGCCTGAAATCCGGGTATTATCATTATTATTGTTCAGATTCGGTTCTAGAACATTCTCTGGTACCCTGTGATAGGACGTGAGCACAAGCTCACACTTTAGAGTTCCTCTGAGGTTTGCCAGGCCGTCTTCCCTCCAGCAAGTCTTCCTGAGAACTTCCCCGTGGTGTCTGGGTGCTGGGTGCCACCTGCCTGTCGGGGGCGGGAGAGAAGAGGGGCAACACAAAAGGAGACTAGCTGTGAGGGAAGTGCATCTGAAGCAGCAGAGTTGCCACGCGCCAGCCCAGCGTTCTCTTGAACCCTGGAGGCTCTTCCTCTTTCTTTAGGTACAGCTGGCTCCCCGCTTCATCAGTATAGGGATTTCCTAACGACCTTGCGCCCAGACTTCACCTCCGCCAAGGAGGCTACTATGCCTGCCCTTTCACTAATCTTCATATCTTAAAGTACAACAGTTGAACCGTAAGCATTAAAGAATAGACTGTAAATACAAGGAGAAAGTTGTCGAAGGAGACGACAGCTCTCACTCAGTTGAGTGGGTCCTTCTGTCCCTGAAATGGGTGATCTCGGACACCGCCTGATTTAATCACTGTGTCGGTCGGCCTCACAAGGTCAGATTCCGGTGCCAGGCTGCTTAGGCTTTGAGCCCTGACTCCATTACATGTTTACTGTGTGACCTTGGGCAAGTTACTCGACCTCTCTGTGCCTCGGATTCCCCCTCTGTAGAAGTCGACATAATAATAGGGGCAGTTGTGTTGATTAAATGAGTCAATACCTGGAAATGCTTGAAACGTGGCTCCTGTCATGAGGAATCCTGTTTTCCACCTGAACGCACTGGCAAATTCATGATGGTGCAGAAAAGGGACCAGAGCAAAGGAAAGATGGGATGTGGGAGCCAAAAATAACCTTGGAGATCAAAGTTCATTTTAAGGTTATTTTTTTAGATTTCTCTCTACTTGATCTTCAGCTATCTGAGAGATCCATTTAGGGTGTTTGTTTTTTTAATAACAGCTTTATTGAGATATGTCACATGCCATAAAATCCACCCTTTGCAGTGTACAATTCAGTGATTTAAGTATAGTCACAAAGTTGTGCAATATCACCACTCTCTAATTCCAGTTGGGTTTTTAACCTGAGGGAGTTTTAAGGGCCAGCGTCCTTTTTTTGGACGGAGCCACCTGTTCTGGTGGCGGTGATTCCGCTGAGTCACGGCAGCGGCCCCGGGAGCCTGCAGTGCTGCCTGGGGGAGAAGCTGGCCGGTGGCTGGGCTGCAGCGAGCGGGCACCGCGCCCTGGCATGTGCTGCCCCCTAGCGAGGGCTGCAGCTCCGCCCTAAACAGCCCACCCGGCGCCTTCAGGGAGGGGGCTCTAGGATACAAAAAGCTCCTCCCGGGCTTGGACTGCACAGGCAGCGCGTCCTGCTTGGAGCCTGGTGAGCCAGGGTGCGGGACCAGCCCCTGACACGGGCTTTCTTCTTACCTCCTCGGCTCTAATTCCATCCAGCTGGGACAGGGTCATTTCTCTGGGTCCTGGAGGGGAGAAAAGGGCTATGTTTTTAAACTCTCTGTTGGGAAGGCATTGATATAATACAATATCCGAAAGATGGGTTTTAGCATCAAAAGATCAGAGTTCACATTCTGCTCTGCCTCTTACTAGCTGTGTGACACTCAGCAGGTTCCTGAACCTCTCTGAGCCTGTTTCCTCATCTACAAAGTGAGGATAATTCCTCTCTTGGGGCTGTTGTATTACAGAGATTTGCTTTCTCTCTCTGAAGCCCCTGAGACTGGCTAATAGTCACGACTCAAATAAACAGGTGCTGTTAATATTCCAAAACTGCCAAAAATGGTGTCCACTGTTGTCCTGGCTTACCCGAGGAGCTTTCTAGAATCAAGATGCATTGCTGTAGGAAAATTAAAAGGAATAGGAAGGATGGCAGTAGGTGTAGGAAGGCTATTTGGTCTTCATCTCCTTCAGGTAGAGACTGCCCCAGGTCAGCTGAAACCCTCAGACACCCTGGAGAACTGGGCAGGAGCAAAAGCCTGGGTGGGGAAGCAGACAGAGGCATCAGAACTGCTGGGAATCTGTGTTCCAGAGGGGAGTCAGGTCCCAGGCTGCCTTGCTGGCCTTGGGCAAGTCATTTAGGCCCTTGGGGCCCTTTACCTGGCTGGGATTTGCATCCTGCCCACGTCATAGATTTGTGGTGAGCCTGTATGTTCTGTCATGGGAAAGTGTCCAGGAAAATGGCAGACGTGCTTCAAATAGTGAGCAGGGTTCCCTGATGATGCCCCAGACGTCACCTCTGGGCTGGGCTAGGTACCTGGGCTTCCCTCATCCACCTCTGGATGCCTCAGAGGGCAGCCTGAGATGATCAGAAACAAAGCTGACTCTTCAGGTAAGACACACAGAGCAGGTGAACTCTACCAGGCAGAAAATGTATCCACCTTGCAGCCTGGGAAGACCCTCTTCTTCCAGAGCAAAAGGGACCCGGGGTCTCACTTGCACATCCCTGGGCCCCTGAGGGTCTGGAGGGGCCGGGGGCCCACCCTTGGCAAAATGAGGAAGAAGCTGAAGGTTGTCTGAGGGTCCCTGCCATTCTTCTCTTCCATCATCCTACCCCTTCCTGCCCTCACCTTTCCTCCCCCTCCACCCCGATTTCAGCATTATCAGACAAACATCACAGTAAAAAATTCCAGGGCTTCCCTGGTGGCGCAGTGGTTGAGAGTCTGCCTGCCGATGCAGGGGACACGGGTTCATGCCCTGGTCCGGGAGGATCCCACATGCCGCAGAGCGGCTGGGCCCGTGAGCCATGGCCGCTGAGCCTGCGCGTCCGGAGCCTGTGCTCCACAACGGGAGAGGCCACGACAGTGAGAGGCCCGCGTACCGCAAAAAAAAAAAAAAAAAAAAAATTCCATATTGTTTCCAAACTTAAAAGACTGTGGGTAATCATCAATGGATACATGGATAAACAAAATGTGGTGTATCCATACAATGAAATATCGTTCCAGGAGCGAAGTCCTGACACGTGCTACAACGTGGGTGAATCTTGAAAACATTACCCGAAGCGAAAGAAGCAAGACGCGAAAGCCCAGTGTTAGATAATTCCATTTATTTGAAATCTCCGAAATCGGTAAATCCGTAGAGACAGAAAGTAGATTCGTGGTTGGCAGGGCATGGGGGGAGGAGTGGCGAGAAACTGCTTCATGGGCACAGGGTTTCTTTCAGGGGTGATGAAGATGTTTTGGAACTAGACAGAGGCGATGGTGGTTCACTTTAAAATGGTCACTTGTGTGCTGTGTGGATTTTACCTCAATCAGGAAAGTAAATAGAAAAGACTGGTTTGCAGCAGCCGCGGTTTGATTCAGGGGGTTCCTCCCTCCCTGTGCCTTCACCCCCTTCCCCTCTCCTGCCTTCTCTTTTATCCTCTCATCACCTGCACTGTCCTCTTTTTTCCTCTGTCTCCCTCTCAGCCCCGCACACACTTTTCTCCCTTTCCCTGGCTTGCCCCCCCCCACAAGCCATTGGCAAGGCAGCATTGGGTCTGGGGGTGTGATCTTGTAGGACCAGGCACTGTCCTACAACTTAACAAGCCCCGTCCCCTCAATTTCCCAGCTACCAAATGACAAGGACAGACTCCAGGACCCTCTGGTTCTCATTTTCTCTTGTCAGGAGGCGGTGCTTTTCCAAGGGTCCCTAAAGAGTGACCCGTTTTCGTTTCCAGGTTTAACTCAACTTTTGTGCTCCTCCTCAGATTTCTTCCTTACCTCACTCCCCACTGCCTGTAGGTCACTGCCTGGGAAAATGGGAGGTAGGAAATCAGAGAGATTGAAAAAGAGATTGGTTGATTTAGAAGAATAAGAAGGCAAAGCATGGCCTTAGGACAGTAGCTCCTGGCGTGTTTATTTTCCTGTCTGTGTGTCTCTCTTAGGCTACAGGGATCCGTGGGGTGATATAACCACGTCTAGTCTGGACTGTGTACCCACCTCAGGGCTACGCTTGTTTTTGTGTTTTCAGTCTGCTGTCTTTGCATGAAAGTCCTAGGGCTGGGACGTACGGCTGTGCTGTCTGTCAGTTGCTTTACATGTTCTTTGCCCAGTTCTTCCAGAGAAATCATCCTGCCCTTGGCTCTCGTAGAGGAAGACCACAGGGGTCAGAGAAGGAGGCAGGGCTGAGCTTTCAGACCCTTGGCTGGGATGGCAGGGCCCCCTGCCTCTCAGCCAGGCCTGGGCTAGAGACTCCTGCTGCCCTGTGACCAATCTTCCCAGGGCTCTGAGCTGGAGGACACAGGCCTAATCGATCCGCTTAAAGTAAAATGTTGGAGCAGGAAGGGAGCTCAGGGGTCACTGGGTGACATGAAGGAGGTTGAGAGAAGTGACTTAGTCACAGCTTTGGGGTGTGAGTCCTGGACACTGCTGCTTCCACACCCCAGATCTGTGCCCCAATGGAAAATTGGAGAACATTTGATGGTCCTGGATGGAAGGACTGGCAGTGAGGGCAGCTGAGTGCCCCGTGAGGACACAAGCTTTGCATCCTGGAGTCGCCTCTTCCTGGGTATGTGACCTGGGCAGAGTACCTCCCAGATTCCTCATCTGCCTGTAAGTGACCCAGACAGGTCCAACCCGACGGGACTTGCGTTCTCGTGCGCAGTATTTGTCCTAAGACTGAGAAGAAGAACTACTTCATTTTACTCTCCGAGCGCATCTCCTCTGGGTTCTATTTTCTGCTTACGTCGAGTAGCCTCTCAGAGATGCTCCAGAGATGACCTGTAGGTACCAAAACATTAGCACGGGGCAAGTGGCCCAGCCCAGATGAGTTGGAGAGACAGCACTGGTGGCCTCATTGAATCAGGAGGTCCATGAACCTAAGGCCATTTGCTGGGGTCAGTGGGAGGGGCGGGGTGGGGGGGTGCCTCCCTGCTTAGAGAGTTCTTCCCATGCATTCCTCTTTTTACCCTAAAGGAAAATAGTGGCACCTGAGATGCACACGGTTTATTCATTTTGCATAGTGAATAGTAGCCTATGTTTTAAAGGATGATTTAATTTCTCCAGAGGCCCCTGTAATTTGTTCAGCTTCCTATTAGTGCTTCTGACTTTCTCCAGCCATGCAGGGGTGGTGCTGGTGGTAGGGAAGTGGGGGGATCATTAGAATCTGGGACAGAGAGACCCATTGCCTTGCCTTTTGCTCTGTGGCACTGAGCGAGGCGGCCTGGCAGCCGAAGGGCTTATGCCACGGATGCTGTCTCCAGTCCCTAGAACAGTGCGGCACTGCCCCAGGCCCCAGAATGACCCTTAGTTCTCCTGCTCCTGACTTGAAACTTCTGGAAACTTCTGGAAGGATACCAAAATGTACAATGATTCTTGCTAAGACTTAATTACAGATTCTTTTTTTTTTTTTTTGACTATTGAGAGAGGAGAAGGAATACTGGAAAAGCCAAAAGCAGGAGTCTGTAAACTGTGGCCGATGGGCCAAATCTGGTGTTAGCTACGAATGGTTTACATTTTCAAATGGTGGAAAAAAACAAAAACAAAAGAAAAATATTTCATGACACATAAGATTATATGCAACTCAAATTTCAGCGTCTGTAAAAAAAGTTTAACTGGGACCCAGCCGTGCTCATTCATTTACGGATCTATCATCAATGCTTGCTTCCCTGCCGCAGCAGCAGAGGTGAGTCGTTGTAACAGAAGGCACAGCCCCCAAAGCCTAAAATATTTACTATCTGGCCCTTTACAGAAACAAATTGCTGACCCTTGACCTGAAATTAAAGTGGAAAACTGTTTCATTGTAGATCTGTTTTAAAAAAAGATCCATAAAAAATTTAAAATTATAATGGAAATCACGAGGGAGAGCAGAATCTGCTTCCTAGAACTTATTAACTCAAATCAATCACCAGTTGGTAAAATGCAGTGGGGGAGATTCTTCTTTTTTTTATTTTTTTTGCGGTATGCGGGCCTTTCACTGTTGTGGCCTCTCCCGTTGCGGCAGGCTCAGCGGCCATGGCTCACGGGCCCAGCCGCTCCGCGGCATGTGGGATTTTCCCGGACCGGGGCACGAACCCGCATCCCCTGCATCGGCAGGCGGACTCTCAACCACTGCGCCACCAGGGAAGCCCGAGATTCTTCTTTTGAGCAGGGATCTTTTAAAGACAGAACCCACCCTTGTTGACCAGCTGCCTTGGACCCTGATGCTGTTCCCTTTGACTGTGCTACCGCCTCCCATTTTCCCAGCCTTGCAAGCCCTCACCTCTAGTGTAATTCTGGATTCTGAGCTCTCCCTCTGACCCCAGCCCAGTTTTAAAGCCCAGTCTAATGTTATCTAAAGTACACTTCTTGGGTCTGTCCCTTCCTTTCCATGGCCTCTGCCCCCGCTCTGGTTCTGGCTTTTTTGCTGTATACCTGGATCAGTGCAGTCACCTCCCTGCCAACAGTCCTTTCTTACCCATCCAATTGGCCCTGCCGACTGCTGCTAAAGTGACCTTAGAGCACTTCTTTGATGCCGCCCTGCTCATGCCTGTGAACAAAGTCCAAACTGGGCACCTTGCCCACCTCCAGACTTTGAGTGAGAAGCAGCCACCGTGTCACGTGGTTCACCCCATCTGCCCCCAACATGGTGGTCGTGCAGATGGGCAGGGAAGAGACCAGGGCATGCGGAATCTTTTTAGTTGTGGCATGCGGGATCTTTAGTTGCCGCATGCATGCAGGATCTAGTTCCCTGACCAGGGATCGAACCTGGGTCCTCACAAGTCACTGAGAGATTTTCTGCTAAGGGATCTCATCTCTGATAAACAGAAGGCTAGAAAATGGTTCTCCCATTCATTCCCCAGAGACCTTGAGGGGAACCCGTTGCCTCTGTGCCAGTACCAGTGTTAGAGCTCCAGCCATAATCATCTCAACTGTGGAAACCCAGAGCCCTTATTATTATATCATCAACACGATGAAGGGGAGGGTCCCACTCACAAAGGCAATGCCAAGGATGAGGAGACATCAAGAGTGGCTGCAGCAAGATTAGAAAAGATAAGAAAAAAAGAGACAAAAAAATCAAATAAAAATTAATTAAATTAAATTAAATTAAATTAATTAATTTAATTTATTTATAATTAATTAAATTAATTAATAAATTAAATTAATTAATTTAAAAAAAAAGAGTGGCCTCAGCAACATGCAGGACTACATCTTTCCTTCCACCCCAAGAGATTTAGAAACAAGAATAAATGGGAAAACATACCTTGCTCTTGGGTGGGGACACTAAATATTGTGAAGATAGCAACTTTTATCGTTTTGGCTCGTCATGCAGTTCTAGCCAAAATCCCAATGGAATTTTGAGAATTTGAGGAAAAAGTGTTCTGAAGAGCATCTGGTAGAGAAAATGTGCAAGAAGATCAAACAGTTTTGAAAAAAGAAGATGAGAGTGTCTAAGCCCACCTAGAGAATAAGGCTGGAGATCCAACACTTAAATCGGGAGGCTCTAGCACCAAAATGGACAGGCGAATGGAGCAGAATAGATGGTTCACTCACCTGGGGAAAGAGGGAAGACCGTCCTATGAATAGGGCAGAGCCCATTGGTTTAGCTGTTGTATCTGGGAGAAAATTTTTTAGATTCCCACCTCATATCATACACTTAAATAAGTTCTAGATGAATTAATAAATTTAATACAAAGAATTAGATCACTAAAGACACAGTAGAAAATATTTATGATCTTTACGGACTATAGAGCAGCGGAATAAATCACAAAGGAAAATAGACTTGACTGTAGAAAAAGTAAAACCCGTCAGTAGAAGCCATCAGAAACCAAAACAGGGACCTAGTGGTTACGATTCGGGCTTTCACTGCCATGGCCCAGGTTCAATCCCTGGCTGGGGAACTGAGATCCCACAAGCTGTGCGGTGTGGCCAAAAGAAAAAAAAAAAAAAAGAAACCAAAGTAAAAGGAGACGCTATTAGCCACAAATATGATAAAGGGTTCATGTCACTCATAGATTAAGAACTCATTCAGATCATTACAGTGGTCGCTGAGGCATGACAGAGAAGCAAAGGATGTAAAGCGGCATCTTATAAAAGAAGCCAGGGCAGCAGATTTTTACTTTTACACTTCCATCCACCGCGTTCCAAATGGGAAAACTTAGTCCTTGAAAGGAATTGATCAAATCTACAAAACAAAACCACGGGGCTCATTACACTTCTTAGTGTTCACGAAAACCTTAGCTGCAGGTTGAACAGGATGGCCTGATCTGTCTGATCTGGCTCACCCGGGCCGGGTGTAGTGTCTCCAGCCAGTTCGGGAGGCTTGCGCTTCTGGGAGGATTCCACCGCACTCGGGTGGGGCTCCCGGTGAGTCAGCAGGTGAGGTGACTCATGGACCCATCCCGGGCACGGGCACGAGCAGCTGGGCAGTGACCAGGGATGTCCTGAGAGAGGCGTCACCAGGAAGCAGCGAGGGAGGCGTTACTTCATAGAGTTGGGTGGGGAGCAGTAGTTGACGCCTTTGGTAATGAAACTTGTTCCTCTTAGCACAGGGGTTCTTGTTTTGGGGCTTTCTAAGGGAAACAGACCATCAGTGTATCTCAGGGTAGAGAATATCACCATAGAGAATATCACCACCAAATCCTAAGTCTTGAAGGATGAGTGGGGCTTTGATCCTCCCAGGAAAGTCCTGCTCATCCTTGGGGAGATATCAAAGGTTTGGAGATGTGGGGAGACATCAAAGGTTTGGAGATGATCAGCCTCAGAGGCCCCTCCCAAGAGCTCTCTGAGAGACAAGGGCCTTGGTCAGAATGAAAAGTAGCGTCTAGGAGTGCCCAGACCACCCACCCTCTGCCTAACCCAGAGGAGGGCTCACTGACCTCATTCTTAGAACCATCCTAAGTCCTCCCAGCTTCTTATCCTACATCGTGGGTGGAGAAGAGAGCTCAGACACCCACACCAGCGTGTCCTGCCTAGAAAGGAGAGAAATGGAGCTGGACCTGAGTATGCCAATGGCCAGCTGGTATAAACACAGTGCCAGTAGGGCTTCCCTGGTGGCGCAGTGGTTGAGAGTCTGCCTGCCGATGCAGGGGACATGGGTTCGTGTCCCGGTCCGGGAAGATCCCACATGCCGCGGACCGGCTGGGCCCGTGAGCCATGGCCCCTGAGCCTGCGCGTCCAGAGCCTGTGCTCCGCAACGGGAGGGGCCACAACAGTGAGAGGCCCACGTACCGCAAAAAAAAAAACAAAACAAAAAACAAAAACACAGTGCCAGAGGCTGGCTGTCTCTCCACACCTTTGTCAGTCTGGGAAGTATTAGGTGGAGTGTCTGCCCCAGGTGGACCCTCCGACCCTGTAGCCCACCATTTATTTATTTTAAAGTTTTTTAAAAACTTTTTTAAAAGTTTAAAGGGAGGAAGTAGAAGCAGCTAGAACAGGGGAGTTTCAAAGATAAGAAAAAATATAAAGTAGAAAATAAATAATATGAGAACTAGATCATTTAAAAGGAAGATATCAAAGTAAAATACAAGAGATTCAAATTACAGAGATAAAAACGTAAAACATGGAATAATCCAAAGTGACGTGAATGAACCACAGCAAAATGACACACTCCAAAGTTCAGAAATTCAAAGTTATTTTTAAGATAAAGAATTAAACATTCTCAGTAAGGAAGAGGGCAGAGTAGGATTAAATGATCGTTTCTAGTGGGCTTTGTTGAGCTGAAGCCACCTCTCAGCTGGGGCTTTTGGGGGAGGGGAGTGCACGCTGCTCTTCAGCCCCAAATTCATGCCCCCGCACTGTGCCCTGTGAAGGACATAGCCTGGCCCTCAGAAGGCACACCCAAGGGTCCTGGTGGGAACCAGTGAGGTGAGTGAGAGCCCGTCCCTGACCCCGGGGGCCACCTGACTCAGAGCTGGGGAGTCGGGACACCCAGGTCGAGTTGGTTCCATGGCCACAACTACTGAGCCCACAACTACTGAGCCCACGTGCCACAACTACTGAAGCCTGCGCGCCTAGAGCCCGTGCTCCGTAACGGGAGAGGCTACCGCAACGAGAAGCCTGGGCACTGCAGCAAAGAGTAGCCCCCGCTTGCCGCAACTAGACAAAACCCGCACACAGCAACGAAGACCCAATGCAGCCAAAAATAAAAATAAATAAATATATAAAATAAAAAAGAATGTTTAAACTCCATCAAACTACCAGTCAGCAGCATTTACTTTTTAATGAAGTGGAAAGAGCAGTGAGCATAGTAACAAGTTGGGCCTGCTGAACCTGCCCACCTGATGGTTTTGGACATGAACTGATGTGATGCTGGTGAATTGAAAGTGCACATACAAGTAAATAACACTTTGGCGATACGCCCCGCGGATGAGGTTGGGCATCTGGTTGTTGGGGAGGAGGGAGGGGAGGTGGAAATCTGCCTGCTGTGAACTGGGGAGGTGGCACCTCTCTCTCCCTGCCCCCTACCCCACCCCCAAGCACTTAGCCTCAGCACAGCATCCCAGCCCTCACCTCCCATCTTCATTCCCCAGGTGGGCTTTGAACCAGGATGGCTGAACCCCGCCAGGAGTTCAACGTGATGGAAGATCATGCTCAGGGGGACTACACCCTGCTGCAAGACCACGAGGGTGACGTGGAGCATGGCCTGAAAGGTTAGTGCACGGCCCTGCGTAACGGGCCCAGGCGCTGCGGGGATCGCGGCCGACCCGATGGCTCTGGAAAGGGCTGGCAGGAAAAGTTCGCATCCTGAGTTTTAAAGGAGTTTTAAATACTTTATTGTGTTAGATTGTCAATGGGCTTGAAACCTCATTAATTTGAGCGAGCCAACAGAACTCAAAATGTGAGCTATTTGAAAATCTGCCTTTTGCAAAGGAGAGTTTGCCACATACGTGGATATAGTGTGATAAAGATTGCCGGAGGCTTGTTGGTCTAATTAATACAAGGGTGCTCTGTTGAGTCTTTAACCAAACCCATTACCCTATAAATCAGCAGGGTTTATTGGCATGCAGAATACATGACTTTATACATTATTTTTTTCTCTTCCTTAATAGGCCTGTCTGGCCCCTTTTGGCCAGAGTTGGTTAGCTCTGGGTTTCTTACTGTCCCTGTTATACCTTAATAAACCACGTCAACCTCTAAATGTTCTATAGTACAGTCTTTTGGCCCAGTTGGCTTGGCCTCCTCTCTCCCCTTCACTGCACTGTCTGACCACCGAGATCGGGGAGCCCCGTGGAGCACACAGAGCCCTCTCTCTGGCTCCGAACGCTAGTCCCTCCATCGCTGATGGGAGCACCAGAGGACCTGTAGGGCACTGGGTTGTACTATAAGGAACCCTCTCCCCACAGTGTCACTGGTGGCCAGTGCCCCCTGGAGCAGCCGACCGTGCAGCCCCGGGATAAGAAAGACTAGGTCCCTGTCTTCTAGACCCATTTCTAAGGAGACGAAATGGCAGTCTACTTTTCTCTTTTAATACTAAAATAACAAGCCTGGGGTGTGCAGTGTTGATGGCAGTGGTAGAGCTCCAAGGTGGGAAGGGAACTCTTCTGGGTACATCTATCTGGGAAGGTTCTCTGGAAGAGGCGGTGTTACCAGAAGGAGGCCTGAGTTCGGGGAGCACATGGAGAAAACATCCCTACCTTGGAGACGCTTCAGGACTCGTTGGGGGGCCTTGTTTCAAAGGCTGATTTCTCTGTACCTGTTTAAGCAGAGAACACATTAGGAGGCAGAGCTTGGGAATCAGACAAGTGGGCTCCACGGTGGGGGAGGTGAGGGAAGAAATGGGCTGTCCCCGGAGCTCAGAGGCCACCCTTTGGCCTTCTTGGGGGCACACCCAGCCCGAAGCTCTGGGTGAGGGGAAATGCCTGCTCCCATCCGGCTCAACCCAACCCTCCTTAGGCACCAATGGTGGCAAGAAACGTGCATCTGACATCTCCCAGGCCACGGCCTGGCTCCAGCCAGAGCTGCTAATTTTCAACTCCCCAAGGGGTTGGAATGGCAGCTGGGCCCTAAGAGCTCCCTCATCTGAGGACCTGAGCCCACCATCCCTCCACATGAGAGTTCTGCCTCAGTATCAGTATCATTGCTTTCACTTTCAAGTGTCCCTATTGGGGTGACAAAGTATGTGGCACCCTACTTATAATGGGACTTCCTTAAAATGATGTTTCAGGTGACCTTCCTGGTGGTCCAGCGGTTGAGACTTTGCCTTCCAAGGCAGGGGGTGTGGTTTGATCCCTGCTTGGGGAGCTAAGATCCCACATGCCATGTGGCCAGAAAACCTAAACATAAAATCAACAGAAGCAATATTGTAACACATTCAATAGAGACTGTGAAAATGGTCCACATAAAAAAAATCTTAAAAAAAAAAAAGATAATTCAGGCATTTTTGTAGGACTCTACAAAAGTTCGCAAAGGGCTTTGGCCACCGACGTCTCAGGTAGCGCTCACAATAACCAGTGGAGGCGGAGGTTGCCTTCCCCAGTTTACAGATGACAAAGTTTCGTTTCTGAGATTGTGGGGCTAGTATAGCCTTCAGCTCCATGTCAGCTGTTTTTGCCTCTGGTCACCCTTAGCCAAGTCTCCTTGAAGCTTCAGTTATTAAACTCTTGTGGGTAGAATCCAACTTAGAATCCCAACATACTGAACTCTGTCCCAGATGAATTGTGCCAGTGAAAAAATGATGCTCTTGGGAATTCCCTGGCGGTCCAGTGCTTAGGGCTCGGTGCTTTCATTGCCGTGGCCCAGGTTCAATCCCTGGTCGGGGAACTAAGATCCCACCAGCCAAAAGAAAAAAGAAAAATGATGCTCTGTTTAGGGTAGCCTGGTTTAAAAATTAAGTTAAAATATATATATTGTGTTGTCACAAATGTATCATAATAATGTAGGATGTTAAGAATTTGGGAAACTGGGTGTGGGGTACCCTCTCTGGTCTATCTTTGCAGTTTTTCTGTAAATCTGCATTGATGCTAAAAGTTGGAATAGGATTAGATAGAGCCCAAGAGAGCTGCAAAGTGGGTAAAAGCTGGTTAACTGATAAAATAATGCACCCACATGAATTAAAAGGTGTTAATGAGTTAACTTGTTAGACCTTCCAGAAGACCCTCAGAAGAGGCTTCTTCCTCCTTCCTTCCCTCCCTCCAAGAAATTTAACAAGGATAAAGCAGATGATGACAGTTGTAGGCTGGGGGTGGATTGGGGGAGGGGTGTTTGGGGGACAAGTGTTTGAGGCACCGTCATGCCCATAGGTTTCTGTGCTCTGACAGTCGAGGCTGGTCCGTAATAAGACCCGGCAGGCAGTCTGCATCATGCTCCCTCACCATGTGTCCAGAGCCTACTTGAGAGAGTTGGCAGGTTTTGGCAAGCTCCAGGACCGGAAGCTTCTTTAGAATCAGCCCTTCTTTGGCTGGATGGGTGCAGCCAGGGCTGCGTGTCCAGGGATGGCGTTCTAGCAGAGGGTGCGACGTGTCTGATCTCGAAGGGTGCTAGAACACCACTTGCCTCTTTTCGTCTCGTGAGTCTGCTTCATGCAGAACCAGCTTCCTGTCCTCTATCTCCAAGGCTGCCCCCACCCCAGGTGGAGTGGCTTTTGCAGAGTCCATCAGAGCTCCCTTGGCTTTAGATTCTGAAAGGACAGTTTTCTTATAAGTAGCGATGGCTGACATTTCAGGTGTAACTCAAGGCTTGCTGGGCGGTGCTTGGAGACACAGCCAAGTGTGCAGTTAGAATAGAAGTAGGTACTGTGTCTGCCCTGAGCTAATTCCTTTGCAGAGGAAGGAGTTGGATCTCTGAGTGTTTTCCCAGGTCGTTAATGGTCATTAATTCATGGCAGTGATCTCCCATGAGTCTCTTCAGTAGGGAAACACAAAGCCCAAGTCTACTTGTGGCTTAGCTTTCTGGTGTCTGCTGCCCGTTTGTCAATATAAGAGCCTTTGTCTCAATTGGAACCACAAGCTAATTAAAAGGCAATTTCTCCTCTCGTCCCAGAACAGGTAAACATTGCGTGCCTCTTTGCCTGCTGACCCTGGTGTGGGGGCCAAGCTGTGTTGGGGTGGGGGTGCGATTGGTCCCCTTTGTGGTTTTGTCATGTGGCCACAGTCCATCCATCTGGGTTCCACGCTGGGTGATTTCAGCTCCAAAAGACACTGTCCCCGAGGTCCTCTGAGGTCGAAGGCAGGGGTGGAGAGAGGCAGCCATTCTGAGGGGCTCATTGTATATGTTCCAGAATCTCCCCTGCAGACCCCGGCCGATGATGGATCTGAGGAACCAGGCTCTGAAACCTCTGATGCTAAGAGCACTCCAACGGCGGAAGGTGGGGCCTCCCTCTTCTCACGGTTTTATTCAAGCAGCTCCTTCCATGCTCCAGCCTGCGCTTAGCCACGCTTTGAGCTCATACGTGCCACCCTTCCTGGCTGCGTTTGCTGCTGCCTCTCCCTCTGGCTGAGAGATAGCTCACTCAGTGCTTTGCAGGACGGAGCTCAGGCCCCGGATGTTGTGGGAGCCACGCTCTGTTTTGATGCCTTGCTCGCTAGGGTCAGGTATGGGCAGCTTCATCGTGTGTGAGTTTTGAGGCAGCCACACTTGAACAGGCTGGGATCCGTGGCAAAGCAGGGCCTGACGTCAGCTCCACCAAGCCCCTGCTCCTCGCCCATTGTCCTCCCAAAACTTCTTTCATGAGCCAGCAGGTCCTAAAGCAGCCGTTTGGCTGGGGAAAGGGCAGGTCAGTGCACATCTCCAAGCTCACACTTTGGGACTGGTCTTGGTTTAGTATCTTTCATTTCTTGAGCTCGGCCTGGGTGTCTGGACCTTGGCTGTGGTGTTAGTTCCAGCCCATCTTCTAACCTGTCCTCTGTAGACATGTGGTGTCTAAGTTATTACAAAGCTGCTGACGTATTTCCTGAAGTGTTCCTTGGTCCTGATTTTGACCATCTTCTCTTGCTTCCCATCTATATCAGTCAAGACCGTGTTGATCGCAGGTAACGGAAAACCCAACTAACTGTGACATACATATGAAGAGGTTTATTTGTCTCACATAGTAAAATGTTTGGACTTGGGCAGCAGCTTCTCAGTGTCAACTGTTTTATCTTCTGCCATCATTAATGGCTGGATTGTTGCCTTATAGTTACAGAATGGCTGCTGTACCTCCAGGCATCACATCTGCCTTCAAAGAAGAAAGAAGGTAGCAAAGCCAAAAGAACCCTGAAACCAAATGTGTTCCCTTTTTATTAGGAAAGCAACAGTTTTTCTGCAGGCCCCACCGAACCAACTTCTGTTTATGTATCATTGGCCAGAACTGGGTCTCATGGCCACCCCTGGCTGTAAGGGAGGCTGGGACATTGAGCATTTTGCCTTCCAGGCTCTTTAGCAGGAAAAATCAAGGGATAAGGGCGTTGAGAATGGCTTTCGAGTAACCAGTCAGCAGTATCTGCCCCTCCTTCTCTCCATCCTCTCCAAGGTTCTATTCTCAGCACTTCCCTGGGCCCTGCCCATGACTTTGATGAGAACCTGGCCCCAGCATCTCCCCAAGCATCCACCTTTGGATGAATTCAGAAAGTGGCTGTCAGGTGCCTGCCAACTGGTGGTGCATCTGTGGAGGATATAGTGGATGTGGCCCTTCCCCCACTTTGCCCGCCCCCCACCTCTGAAGTTCTCAGCCTAGTGAAGAGAATACCAGACCAAATGCTGTTTGCTCTCCTTCTTAGAGCCAGTGATGTTAAGACATAGCCTGCTGACCTTGTCAGGATAGTTCTGCAAGTTGCCTACCGCCCTGAGAAGGTCCTGAAACACTAATGGCAGATTTTCTGCCAGCCTTCCAAATCAGCTTTATTCTGGAAGAATCTACCAACCAAGTCTTGCTGCACTCTGGACCCTGTCCGTGTGTGCATCCCAAGAGCGTCAGCTCTGGCCCCGCGGGGAATGGGGGAGCCTGCTGGGGCTGGACTCTGCCAGGCTGCTCCCGAGACAACCATAATAAAGTGGACTCCTTCTGACGAACCTGAGTCAGGCGCTTGGGAAGCTTTCAAAGCAGACAGCTCCTCATGTCTGCCCAGAAGGGCCTGGGAGTATGCCAGGGCGTTGCTCAGGGAAGAATGCCGATTTGGAAGTGTTCACCTCGATGAGAGACCAACAGCAGCTCCTGGTGGTAGATCTTTCCCTCCAGCCTCTGCTCTGAAGGTGGACCCATCTGTGGGCCTGTTGTCAAGCACCTGACTCCTGACAGGGCCGACCTGTTCGTTGACACCCAGGGGAGTCTGTGGTTTTAAACCATGGGTCATGGGCTCCGGGAGACAGGGGGATTAGAACTGGAAGAGAACTTGGAGGTCACCTGGTAGTGATACTCCCATTTTGCAGATGAGAAAACTGAGACCCTAAGAGGACAAAGGACTTGCCCAAAGCCAGCCTCCCGGCAGAGCCATAGACTCCGGCCCTGACTGCAGGGTTCCTGCACTGCCTTGGTCCCAATCCCATTCTCCTGTTCTGTCCTGCTCTAAGGATCAAACACCTGTGACCAGTCATCTGATTTTCAACACTTCCTCCTTAAAAACACTTGCGACCGTCCCCAGCCGTCCCTCTCACTGCAGTCTTTACAGGGGGGCTGTCCTGGCTTTCCTGGCAGAGGGCCTGGGTGTCTCGTGCATGGGCGCCACTCAAACAGAGTATTGCTGTGCTCCCTGGAGAGATGTCAAGGCTGGAGCACGGCTCTGGGCCCTGCTCTGTGGGGCTGCTTTTCTGCATGTGGCTGAGTCCCCTCCCCCTCCCCATCCCTGCATCTCTGCATCCCCCAAACAGCAAAGGTGAGGGGTGTGGCACAGCTCATCCCGGCCCCCTAAGGTGACTCTCCGTGGTTTCCAGATGTGACAGCACCCTTAGTGGATGAGGGAGCCCCCGGTGAGCAGGCGGCCGCTCAGCCCCCCACGGAGATCCCAGAAGGAACCACAGGTGAGGGTGACTCCCAGGTCGGGGTGCCCAGCTCCCCTGCTGGAGGACGGGTGCACGTGGGGTTATGCCCGTCTCCAAGTGCAGCAGGAATGTGGGTGGACACCAGCCTCTGGGAATCTCTGGTTGTTCTGAGCCTGATGCCCTGTTGCTTCCATGGCTGGCTGGCTGCCTGCCTCCCAGAGAATAGAGGACCTCTGGATTCCTTCTAGCTCCTCCTCTCCTTGTCTTAGCTCCAGAGAGTTCTCTGAGGCAAGCTGGTGGCAGCCTTCGCCCCCAAGGTCAGTCCACCCTCCTGCTGCGACTCTGCCAGCAACAGGGTTACTTCCTCGGAGGTAAACAGCTCCCTGGGCGGGGGGGGGGGGGGGGGGGCAGCCAAGTGTGCAGCAGCATCAAGGTGGCCCACCCACACCTTTGGAGGATTGTAATTGGACAGTCCCCGAGGAACTCAGCAATGTCATCTAGCATCCATTTTTAGGACTATCCTTTCAAACGTATCAGCGTCGAACAGACGTGATGAGACTGTCCTGTCAACACAGATGATGGGGCGTAGCCCAGACAGGGCACTGACCAGAAATAGCACTGGACGCGGGGCCGCCAGAGTCACCTGTGAGCTGCCCAGGCCCTTAGGGAACAGCGAGCACAGCCCAGAGCCCTGGCTGTCACTTCCTTCCCATCCCCTTCCCTGGGCTTACGCACGACTCTGCCGTTGGCTTGGTGACTTGGAGGGTGCTCAGCACGAAACTCAGAAGAGCTCTGGACCATATGTCACCAGCAGTGGACAGCGGGGGACATGTCCCCCGGCAGGAGTTTTCTTTCCTTCCTGAAGACAGGGCTCAGGGCAGCCGTTTAGGAAGCCTGCAGCCCTCTCCCGGGCCTGTGTGCTGGGAGCACTGGGCAGGGGCCGAGCAGTCCCACGGCCTCCTCCAAGTAGCTTCTGTTTGCAAGTTGGTCTTCCGAGATAGGTGGAGGGGGATGTTCCGGAAGCTGGCAGGCCCTGTCCTTGACAGTGAAGGTCGTTTGAAGGCCGTGGGACAAACGACTCTTGGTAACTTGGCTTTTGTCTCCCGCTGTCCCTTTACAATTGTGTCGGTGGGCGAAGCTCTTCCCCTGCCTGGGATGAAAACTCTAGCCACCTCTTGACTTTTGATCACTTCCGAGTTATCAAAAGTGTTTTAAGTTTCCACAGTCACAAAACCCAGTCTGCAAATGCTGATTAGAATGTCCAGTCCTGCATAAGAGCCAGAGCTGAAGCCCCTCCTCTCTGGGACTAGGGAGGGGGCGAGGACGGGGCAGGGGCAGGGGCAGGAAGGTTCTTACTGCATGGGCGCTGCTGTGAGCCAGCTCCACATGGGCTGCAGGTGTTTAAAGCTGACTCTTTCTCTGTGGGGACCTTTCTGGAATTCTTCCAGACACCCCACGTTCACCATCCCCGTCATCCCTCCGAAGGCCCCTCCCTCTGCGTTGGATTCCAGCAGACATTTCTTCTCTCTTTGGCCCCTTGGGGTCTCCAGCCTCTCGCCTGCTGAGGTCGGCTTGCTCACATCAGTGGCCCTGCTGCATGTGGCCCGAGGCGCCCCCTCCACTAGAGCTGCCCTGTGCCCACAGCAGGTCCACGGGGAACATGGGTGTTCTCTGCCCCAACGGACTGTGGATGTGCAGACTGCCCATAGGCTTTGCTCTGCCACCAAGGCAGGGCCAGCGTGTCTCTCCTCCTCTGATTTTCCCAGGTGGGCTTCTGACAGCCGTCCACCATGTCCCTAACCATAGAGAACTCACACCATGTGTCTCCCCCTGGTGCCTTGAAACCCTCTCGATGGGATGAGATGGGAGGTGGCCAGGCAGCCACCCCCCACCCCCACAAGCTGCTGTCTCTAAAGAAATCCTCCTCAAAAATTCTCTCGCCCTCCACCCTTTACATCCTCAATGAAGCGGGAGGTTTTAGAGTTGGGGGGACATTTTTTCAGCTGGTGGCGTTAACAATAGCACCTCACTTGGGCATGTCCCCTTTGCTGTATCTTGGTTCTCCTGTGAAACTTCCCATTTGAGGTCCATTTGGGGGTGCAGTGTGGCCATCCCTTTGCAGGAATCCCTGCCTTGCGGGGTGAGCGTGGAGCCCTCTTGGGGCTCCAGGGATATGGAGAAGCCATATAGGGATGTGATGGCCCAGCCACTGTCACACACCCTCCCTCTCTTTGGCTTCTCTGAGCATCTCCCTTGCTGGGATCAGGGGATGTCAGAGATGTGGGCAGCAGCCCGCGGTTTCTGATTTGCATCAGGACCAGGATATCAAGACACCGCGTGGGAAAGCGAAAGCGGTGGGCTTCCCAGTGCCACGACGGTGATGTCGTCGGCACGCCTCCTCGTGTCCTCTGTCTCCAGGACTCCGTGCCATTTAGCTGGACTTGCTGTCACTCTGAGGCTTTCTTCCATAACCTTGTCAGAAACTCAGATCAGACCTATGCTCGGAGCTGTGCTTCCCAGACAGTCGGCTGTTGTCGAGTGACGTGGAGCTGTCACCGTTAGACCTCACAGGCCATACAGTGTCAGCGTGCAGAGGACCCAGAGATGTTCCTGCCTAGGAACTGGCAGTGGGGGAGCTGCCCGAGCCCACTGCTGGCCCCCTGCCCCTTGCCACAGCTGCCCTGGGCCAGCCAGCTGCCCTGGGCCATCGTGCATCTGTCCAGCGACCCAGGGGCTCTTTCTTTTGCCTCCGCCGTGTTCTCTGTGGTGGACCCGTATGGCAGGTGGTGGTAACCTGGCATTTCTGGTTTAGGTGCAGAGACTGAGTCATTGCAGGACTGGCAGAGAAGACTGGTGGCCCAGCCAGCAGCTGGTGGGCATTTCTCAGGGTGGTGGCCTCTCTCTCACTGTCCATCAGGGCATATTGGCTCTCCTGGGATCATGGGGTCACCGCACGTCAGTGTGTGATGTGACCAACTTGCCTTTTAGGGGTCCCTTCTTCTGGACAGTTGTATCCATTGTCCTGCCACAATATCCCGATTTTTTTCACGATGCAGAAATTGGTGTTGTACGAAAGCTTATTGATTTTGGTACCACTGATGATCAGTAGCTTTTCTCAGTCTTTTTTTGTTTGGGGTGGACTGGGGCTCCCTAAGCAGGAGCCCAAGACACCCCAAAAGCTGCTCACTGACACTGCTGGCCCCCCCCCCCTATTCTAAGCATGAGGTTAAAGGGCTTGCCCAGCAGTTTGGAGGAAAGAAACTGAACCGCCGGGGGGCCCCTGCTGTGTCCCAGGCACTTTGCTAAATACATTCACACCATTTTATATGAATCCTCACCACTCTTCTGCAAGGTGAGCCAGTGTCATCACCTTGGGATTCTAGAGTTGGAGACAGGGGCCCAGAGAGGCTGAGTAATGGTGGCACCTGGGTTTGAACCGCAGCCGGCCTCCACAGCCCGCGCCTAGTCTTCCCTGCACCTTTGCCGCCCGCCGCCCCAGGAGCGCTGGCTGGGGCTGGGAGGGCAGCCTCCGCCCGGACGCAGCTCCCGCAGCCGTGGCCGAGCAGCAGATTGCTTCTCTGACCTCACCTGTCCTGTGTCTTTGTTGAGGGGGGTACTGAGGACCCTGGGCCCATTGTGGAGAAGGTCTTTCCTACTGGACTGTGTCGCCCGTAAAGTGCGTGGTTGTGTGGGTTTTGTTCAGTGAACTGTTTTCATCCACGTCCCCGGCAGTCACATTTGCAAAGAGCCAGAGGTGCAGCGCCTCGGTGCTGCTAAGGCGTGCCTTTCCTGAATGCTTTCAGAAACATAGCGGAAGAGGCGGGGAGCTTTGTCTCTAGCAAACAGTAACCGTCTTTGCTTTTATCTTCTTCATTTGCTGACACACAAACCAGCTGAAGAAGCAGGCATTGGAGACACCCCCAACCTGGAAGACCAAGCTGCTGGACATGTGACCCAAGGTCAGTGGGCTAGAATCGCCTGCCACGCGTGACGTGGGGGGCCGGGAAGAGGGGCATGGTGACACAGATGGACCCTACCTACCCTGAAAAGAGAATTTGGACCTGGGCCTTAATTCCTGGTCTTCAGGAGTTGGTTTTTATCGAAGGTGGGCTATTCAGATAGAGAAAGAGCTCTAGCTCTATCTAGCCATTTCTGAGTCTTTCCTGAGGTGTTCAGTGTTCTGAAAGGAGCTGGCCCTGCCCAGCATGGGGAGTCGAGAATCAATGACCAGGAGAAACGCAGATAATATGTACGATGAGTGATTTCCCCTGTAGGCGGCCCTCTGGCCTGTCCCGGGAGCAAAGCCTCCACCAAATCACCACTGAGCTGTTTCTTATCAACTCTCTTCTGTGCAGCCTTCAAACCTTATTATGATTTTCTTCTCAGGGACCAAAACTGCTGTGCTCAAGAAAAGCAACTTCGTATAATCACTGAGCATACATGTTTTAAGAACTCAATGTTTTAAATCCTAGAGATTCCTGATCTTAGGAAACGGAGACCCCGGCAATACAGCCTAGCTGGGTTTGTTTTCCGTCATTTGCTGCATAAATGAATTTGACAGTCTACTGTGTAATGTGGAAGCTTCTAGATTGTAAGAAAGCAGGGAAAACACTGTTCTTTTCTCCAGAAAGTGATTTGGGATTTGTATAGCGCCAGCACTGGGGCCATCTGACTTTAGGAAGACTCTGGGCCCTGAAGAAATGTCTCCCTGAAGGTGTTTTGAAGCCTAACTAACACATTTCTGCTCCCCAGGGGTCCCTGCCCCGTCGTGGGCTAGGGTTTCTCATCTCACATGTCATGGAAAGGCGTGTTTTCATTCTTAGGCTTACAAAGAGCTTCAGAAAACATTAGAAGGGATAATCATTATAAGGGGAAACCTCAGTCTATGTGTTAAATAACTAGAATCCTGCCTCCTGTTTCTTTTCGGTTATGATTTGCAGCTTTTAGGTAAAATGAGAGGTTTTTATAACCTCTGGAAATGATGATCTATTTCCATAAAAAGAAATGAATGAGTTTTTTCTACCAATTTTTATTGCAGGCTATGTCTCCATGCCCCTAAAACATATTCCATGCAACAAAAAGATCAGGCCATCCGCTTTCCTAGAAACTTTACTTTTGTGCTAACTGAATTTTTGACTTTCCCAGCACTGGCCTAGAGTCATATAGATATAAAGATGAACACCAGGTAACATCTGCCATGGGAAATTGGCACCAAATCTGTGAGCACGTGGAGGTTTCCACCTCTACTCCCAAGTCCAGTATTTAATGTCTTGACTGGAGCTGCTGATCCACATGGCCAAGCCCAAGCTCCCTCCAGTGGAACCTTGTGAAATTCAGGCTCACTCGTGATCCGCAAACGTTTTATTTGACACAGGCCTGCAGTCTGTTCTGAACAAAAACAAGCAGCTTTAGGGAGAGCCGTGTATACAAAAGCACAGCTATTATCTCTCTCTTGCTTTCCTGCTGCAGAAGGAAAACCTCTGGCAGCCTGTGTTCATGACGTACTAAGACAGATAAGATGTTTCAGGATGGAGCTGCCATTGGCTGAGTATTAGGTGTGGGGAGACCCTACCCATCTCACCCCTGCTCACACCAGGGTAGACCTTTCTTCTGTGAGTGTCTCCAGGACCAGGTCTCCCAAGGGAGTGTGGGGACACAAATTTAACACATTAAACTGTGTTTTCCCAAATATTTTTTACCTTGGACCCACCCCCGGTGATTGCTATGTTTCATATTTACTGAGCACTTTACAGTCTTCTGGGAGCTGAATAGAATGTTCTCCCAGCCTGGCTCCTTCCTCCGGGAGTGCAATGGCATGAGCTAAGGTTCCTCACACACGCATGCACACGCACACGTGCACACGTGTGCTGTACTGTCATCTGTTGGTAACTTCTCAGGCTGTGTTTGGTGCCCTTGTTTCTATTTAATGAGGGGCTTTAAAGTCCTGCAGCATATCAGAGTACAGTAACATCCACATCACGAGCAATTTCCAGGAAGCTCTGGAGGAAAGCTTTTCCCAGAAGGCGCTGGAGACCTGGCCCGTCAGTGGGTGTTAAGGACCGGCAGCTGCTGCCGCTTCTGGTCTGTTGAGCAGTGGGTTGGGAAGAAGAGGCACTGAGGCACCTGCTCAGGCTGCCTGCTGCCCAGCTTGTTTCCTCCTTCTCTGTCGTTTGGGCGGTTCTTCCCCGAGACTGACCAAGGGCCCCCGTGAGGTGCCTGTAGACCCCGCGGAAGGTGGAAATCAGCACGTTTTCCTGACACGCCTTCATGTCCTGATCCCTGGCCTTGTGGCAGGCTCTGTGGCGGTGCTAGGAACACGATATGAGTGAGATGGTGAGCTCAAGGCCCCAGTGTAGGGGTGAGAGGTAAGGGTGAGCCGGGCCTCTTGATAAGGGTCCAGTGGGCAACTGCAAGGACTCCGACTGGGTTGGGGCGAGAGGGACGTGTTACCCATGCGTGTGGACACCTGTGTTCTCCCACCTCCTTCCCCTCCCCTCATCCAGTCTCTTTCTCTTCCAAGACCCCCAATCCTTTGCGGTTCCAGATTTTGTTTAGAGGAGAGCCATGAAGTTGTTCTGGAACTAGGTAGGATGTTTGAAGAGTTGGGAGTTAAAACAAATACGGAATGTTTATTAGGAGAACCAATGAGCATACGACTACTGTCCTTAATACACAGATACTTTTTTTTTTTTAATTTATTTTTGGCTGTGTTGGGTCTTTGTTGCGGTGCGCGGGCTTCTCACTGCGATGGTTTCTCTTGTTGCGGAGCACAGACTCTAGGCGCGTGGGCTTCAGTAGTTGTGGCATGCAGGCTCAGTAGTTGTGGCTCACGGGCTCTCGAGCACAGGCTCAGTAGTTGTGGCGCACGGGCTTAGTTGCTCCGCTGCATGTGGGATCTTCCCAGAGCAGGGATCAAACCCGTGTCCCCTACATTGGCAGGCGGATTCTTAACCACTGCGCCACCAGGGAAGTCCCAATACACGGATACTTTAAGGAGGGATTCACGTGAATGTCGCATGAATGAAGCAGAAAAAAGGGCAGTGTGCCCTCCATCCACCGGGTTGGCACATGGCAAGTGGTGTGATAGGGGTGAAGCAGTGGTCCCCGTGGGCCGCACATGTCTTTGCCGTGCAGACCACCTTTACTGCCACGGTGGTCGCCTCACCTCGTGCAGAAGGCTGTCCATAATCCACGATCCGGATGCACCTGAACCATGTTTCTGTTTACTGGGGTCTCATGGCAGGTCTGGTAGTAAAGACTTGAGCCCTGATGTTGATACGTTTTGGGCTTTTCAAATCTGTCAGGGTGGGTTTGTAGGCACCTGCTGGTTTCAGTCAGCAAAGAGAGAGAAGGAGAGGAAAAGAGACCCTCACTGCGCCCCAGCCAGGTCCCAGCTAGAGGCCAGAGTTCTCGGGGGGCTCGCTGTCCCTGGAGAGGAGGACAAGCTTCGTGGCTGATGGAGTTAGCACGAGGCAGCCCCAGTTAATGACAGGATGCTCGGAGCCCAACCAGACCCACGATGGGCAGAGGGATAATGCTGCCACTAGACGGGGCTTTGGTCCAAAGATGAGAAAACTGAGGCCCAGAGAGGGGAGGTGCTCACTCAGCAAGTTGGTGGCAGATAGACCAAGAGACCTTTCATTCTGAGCAAAGAAAAGTAACGAGGGTGAGCCCAGAGCGTGGGCTCCTTTCTTGGTTAGGTGGGCTTGAGGTGCCGTTTAAATGTCCTTTTCTTCTTCCCAAGTGCGTCCCCTCTCTTAAACACTTAATGCGCTCTTGCTAACCTTTTGCCGCCTCCGCCTCTTCAAACCCAGGGGAGGGGAGAGTTCCGGGCCAGCAGAGGGAAGTGTCTGAGAGGCCCCCTGCTAATGGGCTTAGCTCTCAGGTCCAGCCTGCACACGGCCAAGAAGCTTCTGGGGTCTCCGAGCTGCATCTGGGGGAGAAACAGCCAGAGGCTCCCGTCCTGGCGATCCCTCACCTTTCCCAGCATCATCCTGTCTGCCAGCCGCCTCTCCCACCAGGAGGCCCTCAGGAGCCCCACCAGGAGTGGGGACCAAAGCGAGGGGAGCAGGCCGAGGAGGGGCTGGCCTTTCTGAAGCCCAGCTACCCTGGATGTCTCCAGACGGAGCCTGGGAGTGTCAAGGTTGTCCAGGAAAGCTTCCTCAGGGAACCAGGGCGCCGTGGAGGTGAGGCCATGGACCCTGGGACCCCAGGTCTGACCTGCCAGCATGTGTCTGACATGCCTGGGGCTCCCATCCTGCCCGAAGGCCCCAGAGAGGCCACACACCAGCATTCGGGGCCAGAACCTGAGGATGCAGACGGCAGCCGCTGCGGCTCTGAGCTGCTGGAGTGCCAGCTTCTGGGAGACCTGACCCAGGAGGGGCCGCCTCTGAAGAGGGAGCAGGGCAAAGAGAGGCTGGGGGCCGAGGAGGTGGATGAAGACCAGGACACTGACGAGTCCTCTCCCCAGGACTCCTTTCCCTCCCAGGCCTCCCCACGTCTGCAGAGCCCCACCACCCGAGGCGGGCCAACCCCCGACGCAGTTTCCGGAGAAGCCCCTGGGATCCCTGGTTTCTCAGCCATGGGTGCCACCCCCCTCCCTGTCGATTTCCTCTCTAAAGTTTCTGCAGAGACCCGGGTCTCAGAGCCCGATGGGCCCGGGGAGGGGCCCCCAGCGGAAGGGCACGACGAGCCCCCCGAGTTCACGTTCCACGTGGAAATCAAAGCCAATGTGCAGAAGGAGCAGGGACCTTCGGAGGTGGATTTGGAAGGGGCTGCAGTTCCTGGGGCCTCTGGAGCAGAGCAAGAGCCCTGGGGCCCCTCTGAGGGCGAGGACACACAAAAGACTGCCCTTCCAGAACCATCTGAAAAGCAGCCTGCAGCTGGTCTGCCGGGGAAGCCCGTCAGCCGGGTTCCTCAACTCAAAGGTCTGTGTCTTGAGCTCCTTTGCTCCTGCCCGGCGACCTTGTGTGCCACCCAGGCTGCGGGCACTGCCACTGAGCTTCCGGCCCCTCCTTGGTTCCTGCCGCTTCCAAGGCCCCCGGGGGACAGCCACCAAACCGGCCACTGGGCCTCTGCTCACCCTCCCGCCGCCTCCTGCCCTCCAGGCTCCTCTCACGCTTGCCCGCCGTTTTGCATGTCACCAACACCCCCGCCCCATGCTTTCTGCCCCGTTCGCTTCTCTGGCCACTCGATTTATCCACAAGGTTCCATCGGCCCGCTGGAGGCTGGTGGGCCGCGCCCCACAGAGAGCATAGCAGCTCCTTCCACTTCGGAGGGCTTGTTATGTGTTTCAGATTCATTGTCTAGAACCCTCCCAACCCTCCCAAGTGGGCATAATTAGCCCCACTTTGCAGATGAGGAAACTGAGGCTCGGAGAGGTAAAGTACCTTGCTGAAGGTCACTGAGTATTAGGTGATGGAGCCAGGTTCGGAATCCAGGTAGGTCTGCTCCGAAAGGCCCTTCCTTCCCTATACACCACAGTGCCTTCCAGAAGGTTCTGAAGTGTGTCCTCCTAGCCCGGAGACTCAGAGGGCACGTGCCTGTCTTCTTCGGCTCTGTCAGTGGACAACACATCACATGTAGCAGGCGACACACACAAGCATTTGGAGGTGGCCCAGAGTCCCCACCCCCACTCCACTCCACCCTGCCTCGTGGCAGGATAGACAGTGAGCAGAAACAAAAACTGCCTGTGGAAGAAAACACCTCCTCCTCCCTCAGCAGAGCCCAGCCAGTCCCTGTGCTGGGATCGCAGGGGTCTCAGCCCTGGCTCAGTCTTGAGCTCTGGGAAGCGTCACTGCGGCAGCCCTTCAGGAGCTGGAGAGATGGGAGGGGAGGTTCCTAAGGGTCAGGGTCTGTGTCCTGTCAGTGAGAGGACAGTTTCTACTCCAGAGGGGGCCTCATGGATGGCCACAAGTCGAGCGCATTCATATATTTAGGTCCTGTAGCATTTTAGAATTATTTGCGGGGCCCAGAAATTGAGGTTACTTAAGCTGTCAGTTGCAGACATCTGTTAAATGTGGATTACAGCCTACTCGTCGTGAAAACTTTGAACTGTTATAGATAAAGGAACCTGTATTTAAAATTTAAGTCAGAGAAAGAGTCCTACTTTAAAATATCCTAAACTCCAAAATAGTATGGGACAAAATACAGTGACTTGACAGATTACAACAGTGTTTCCTGAAGTGGCATTTTATTGAATACTGGTCCACTGGATGTTGATAGGTGTGTAAAGGGAAAAAAGATTTCCATGGTCCAATTAGTTTGGGAAAAAAAACAGGTGAAACAAAGTTAAACAGGGTTTGCTGCAGCAGGACTTGTCAGAGCCTTTAATATTCTAATGTACATTATGACCCTCTGAGAAGGACACATGGTATGCATTTCCCCCGTTCGCCAGTCAGCACTGGGAAATGCTGATCTAGCAGACGCTTTTGTTGTGACATAGATGATGATGGTCACTGGGGCAAAAGATGTGAACCAGGTCCACCTGGGGCTCTTATTAAAATGCAGATTCCCAGGCCCCACCTTAAGCTTACTGTCTCAGAGTGAGCCCGGGATTCTGTATTTTAGGAATCTCTCCCAATGGGGTTCTGCTGCATAGTAAAGTTTGAAAACCTCTAGGCTAGGTCATCAGTGCTGGTCACTCTAGAAATCTGGTCTCTAGTAACCAGTGAGATGCTCCAACCAGCCGCATTGTCCCTGGAGCAGGGAATATACAATATTGAAGCCAAAGACAGAAACCTATAACTAGTCTTCAATAATGAATGCCAATAACAGGAGTGAGTTAGAGGTGACACTGGTAGACAAGTGGATTGGTTTCACCAACGGGTGTGGCTTTCCAAACACAAAAGCTGTCAATGGTTTGGTCCTAAAATCCAGAGGTTATCTGTAGGATGTTTGACAGTAGCTAGATTGTTGCTAGCTTGGAGAAATGGCAACATTAGTCCTCTTGGTAGAGCCTGTAAGTGGTGAGAAGACCCTCCAGGGTTGGGTCAAGGGTGGAATGGGCTTGTCAGAGAGCCAGCTGGGGCTGGTCACCAAAGCCTCCATTAGTGAGGGGCGGGCTCTGGGAAAACAGCCTACACCCCTTGGCCCTTGAATGAGCAGAGGGTCCTGCAGGGACCGGAGCCTGGCTGAGCTGCCCCATCCGTGGCCCTGGGTTTTCCAAATGCCCCTCCTTGGAGTGGGGTTGGCCCCGGCTGTGGGAGGCTGACCCCGACAGAGACGGGAAGGGAGCCTGTGAGAGGTGGTCCTGTACTGTCTACCTTCCCTGATGGCCCCTGTGCCAACGTATGCCCGGAACAGTTTCCCCTCTGCATGTCCCTGCCCTCGGCCAGCCTGCTGCCCCCTCTTGTCAGGGTGCTCCAAGCAATGACTCCAGTGTGCTGTGTTGATACTAACAACGAGAACCTAACAGATTCGAGGGGAAAGAAAACCAGCTGGATTTCCACTGGCCCAACTGAGCAAGACATGTTGTATGGATCCCGAGAAGTCAGCTCTGCTCCGTCGGGCACTTTGTGAGCTGTGCTCATGGGTGTAACGTACATGGGTGTAACGTACATGGGTGTAACGTACATTCTCGTTTTATATTTCATCAGCTCGCATGGTCAGTAAAGGCAAAGATGGGGCTGGACCCGAGGACAAAAAAACCAAGGTAAGCTGACAAAACCATGAAACCTCTCTGCTGCCGTCAAGTTGATCAAGAAGCCATGCTTTGTATCTGAATTAATCTTTACATATAACATGGGGAGAGCGTTTGTCCCTGAAGTACAACTGTCATTCCAAGTGCTTTGTGTTTTTATGCAAACGTTTAAAATTCTAGCATTTATCCCTGGACACTTGGGCCAGGGAAGGGCAGTCAGCAAGTTATGAATTAATTAATGCTAATTGTAGTTGCATCAGCGTAGTTTGAATTAAGACGTTCACGGTAAATGAAGGTGTGTTAGAATTTTCTGCAATGAAGTTTGAAATTTGCGCGTTTTACACTTCCCGCTACAGGTCTAGGCTCAGCAAATATGTATCTATATACATACACGCACACAGATATATTTAAGATATATCTAGAAAATACCATTTCCTTAGGGGGCTGAGGGAGTACTGAGCAAGAAGGAGATCTCCAGCCTGAGGCGGAGGGTCCTGGAAAAGCCCTAGAAGAGCGGACCTGTGAGGCAGGCCGAGAAGGAAACATGAAGGGGGTTGGTGACGTAGGAGTGAGAAGAGGCGTTTTAAGGAATAGGAGCAGCGCAAGCAAAGGCCCCGGGGGCATGAGGAGACTGGGGAGCTCTGAGCAGATCGGCTTAGTTGCTGCCGAGCTCGGAGTGGGGCTGACACAGGCTGGAGGAGGGAAGCCTGACACACACCCTACATACTGAGCGGACACGGCCATGATGCCGTGGGCGCCGTCCTGAAATCCCGCCAGCCGGTCTTCAGAAACGCCCCGAGGACCAGAAAATGAAGCAACTTGCTCGCCACCGAAACCACACCCGGAACAGTGTGGTCCTTCTCAGGCTCCCTTTCAGCTGTAGTTTACTCTCCTCCGTGACTGTGCATCTTGGAAAAAGCTCCTGTAAATGCATGGTAGTGTTTTGCCAGGAAACCCTCACTGGGGCCCTAGATGAAGACCTGTTTTCCTTAAAGGCGTCTCAAATGTCCCATATGTATGCTGCCTGAAACGCCTGGGTCTCAATCAGTCCTGGAGGCCTGATGGAGTCCCCAGATGCAGAATGAGGCCCCAAGAGTTCGGTCACGTGTGTTGAGGGTCGCTGCCCAAAGTGCCTGCCCTAGAGGAAGTCGGCTTCGCCGTCAGGACTCTGCCCATCAGTGGGGCAGCAGAGGGTCCTGCGGGAACTTGAGGGAAGGCAATAGCTGCTTGCCAGTCGTGAAGCCCATTCAGGGGAATCGCGTCCTCATGCCGGCATGCATTCTGTTCACTCATCCATCAGGAAGCCGTCCCTGCCCTGGAGCTGCTCACAGCCTCACAGCAAGGGATAAGATCTCTCACGAACCTTGGCCACTTGGCCAGGTAGGGAGCAGTGCCAGGGGAGGGGGACCTCGCGCAGCTGGGGAAGGAGGGGTTGCCAGTACCCACCCTCGGCTTTTCTTGTCAGCGGCCCCAGAGCTTCAGCCCGCATCCCTCCCCTCACCCCCGTGCTCCATCCCTTTCGCTCTCGTCCTCCCCAAGGCTGGCAGCAGAGAGGGTCTCAGCCACCTTAGTGATGAACCCCAGTAACAAAGTCTCTGGTCAGGACCCTGCTCTGTAGCTCTGACATCCTCCTTGGAACACCTCTGGGCTTGGCCTCTTGGTTGTATTCCTGAAGGCATGGCCCTTCCCCCTCCCAGGCCACCCTTCCCTACCAGGGCCACATATCCCCGTCCAAGGCCCCCGGAGGCCATCTAGACAAACCGCAGGTGTCGGCCACCGTCCTTCACGTGCTCTCATCTCCGCGAGGCCAGACAGCTCACAGAGCCCTGTCCCATTGGCCGCCTGGCCCACCCAGCCTATTTCCTTAGGTGGACCGTGGCCAAGAGTAAACAGTGGCCAGATAAGATTCACCAGACAGTGTTTAGCTTCGAGACTTTATACAGAAAGTGTGTGTGTGTGTGTGTGCACGCGCATGCACGTGTATGTGTGTGTGTGTGTGTGCGTGCGTGCACGCGCGTGATCTAAGTGGTGTCAGGCAGAATCTTCAAGACCTGGGGCAGGCACAGTTCTCTTTTTAGCAAGGACGATTCTATCGGTGCGGTGGGAGAGGGCCAGGAGTTAGGGGGCCAGCATGAGCTCCCCACCTGGAATTGAGCAGAACCTGGGGCACTTCTGACCCATGACACATTGGAGGTGTTTTCTTGAGAAACATCCTAAGAATCACGTACTTTTGGCGACCTCCATGAACTCTTTGGGTGCGAGACACCTTTAAACCAGTGGTCTCCAAAGGGCAGCGCTGAAGTAGAGCCAATGGGCTGGAGAAAGAACGTACCAGAAAGTCTATCCATTGTCCAAGGTCTGCCACATGCAAGTTTCATAACGTTCATCATATGTTAGCATCATAGTATATGTATTAGCGGATGCATAACTGCAAGTACATGAGATGCATGGTCACTTTCTGTTCTTCCTGATGAGAAGGACTGATGAGGGTGCGTGATCCAGTTTGGCGATCACGGCTTTAAACCATTACCTGTTTACTTATTTGTAGTCACTGTCTTTTTTTCCGTTTGTTCATTTCTCCCATGTGCTGACTTTTATTTTGATTTTATTCATGTTTATGTTTAAGACATCCACACCTTCCTCTGCTAAAACCTTGAGCCATAGGCCTTGCCTTAGCTCCAAACGCCCCACTCCTGGTAGCTCAGACCCTTTGATCAAACCCTCCAGCCCCGCCGTGTGCCCAGAGCCATCTTCCTCTCCTAAACACGTCTCTTCTGTCACACCCCGAACTGGCAGTTCTGGAACAAAGGAGATGAAAGTCAAGGTAAGGAAAGCACCTTTGGAAAGAATGAGGCTGCTCTACTGTGGTTTTCGAGTGTATGCTTTTCTAGCTGCAAAGACCTTTCTTTGGATAAGCTCTTACCTAGAAGCGCCACATGGAACAGTTAAATTTCTGGCTGAAACAAGGAAAAGGAGGCACCGTGCCATCCTTCTTGGCGCCCCGTCGGCCCTCGTGGCAGCGGGCCCTAAGCTACCGGAGGGGACCCCGGCTTGGAAATCGCCACTCTGTTTGGGTTCCTTTGTCCATTTCTGACTTTGGTAACCGGGGGGTGCTTCCAGGTTGCCCTCATTTTGGGTCGGACAGCATCACTCTGCAGCCATGCCTGTCCCACCAGTTTACTCCTTCCTGAACCATCTCGTGGTCCTCAGTTCATGTCAGTTTCTTCTTTGAGTTTGTGTTATATGTCAAGGTCATCAACTGGGTCCCCAGACCCAGTCATTGTCCCCAGTCAGCTGACTGTGCTTGTGCGCCTGTGCTCCACCTTTGGCCAGTTTGCTAATTGACGCTGGTGTTTACCCGCCAAGGGCTCTTAGCACACCTGAGGTGGTACTGAAGCCTGAGGCTTGTTTGGGAGAGAACAGGAGGATAGGGCCGAGCTCTGTTAGCCCTCTCGGTCCGTTTCAACAAACTGTCTCCTTGTCCCTCTGAAACTAACCACCACCAGTCAGATAAATCCCTAAGGGAGTCAGAGAATGGTGTCCACGTAGGAAGAGTCTACAGATGTCCTGCCTGCCGACACTGGTTGGATGGTGAACTCGATCATTGCTGTAAGCTCTGTTGACTTTTTATTAAATACGTTAGCTCAGCTCTTGCAGAGAACTCATGTAAAATGTCCCTCCAGGAGGAAAAGGTAGGCATTTGGGAGGGGCTGTGGATTTGTGTGCCCAGCAAACCCTCGTCATTGTAGAGGACGTTTGTTGTATCTGGCTGGCAAAGTGTCACCCCAACCTTAGCCTCATTTGGAGTCACGGTGGTTGAATGGGGCTGGCATTGACACCGGGTGGCAGGAATCTTTCCTAGTCGTAAAAACCACTCTACCATGCTTCGTTTACAGGGGGCAGATGGTAAATCTGGAACGAAGATCGCCACACCCCGGGGAGCGGCCCCTCCAGGCCAGAAGGGCCCGGCCAACGCCACCCGGATTCCAGCAAAAACCACGCCCACCCAGAAGACCACGCCCTCCCCGAAGACCCCACCGGGCACGGGTAAGAGGGCTGTTCTCTGGAATCCAAGTCGGGGGAGAGCTCGCTGTGGAAGCCCTGACAGTTCAGCTCTGGTAGCTGATCGACGCCTGCAGTTTACTGAGCACTGAATGTTCATTTTCTAATTCTTTTAATTTTCTGAGCTAGATATTGAATCCCCACTTTTTACCATGAAGAAATCGAGGCTCGACTAAGTCTAACCAGACTTTTAAGCACGAGGAAAAAGCAGCCGTAAGACTAGTAACTGACGGAAAAGGGGCTTCTCTGAGATCCTTGGACCCCACGTCCAGGGCCCCTGGGAGGTGTTTTTCAGTCCCCAAATGAGGGTTAGGTCACTATAGGTGACCTCACACAGGGCACGGCCCCTGCTAACTTGCTGGGATGTTAGGGACCCTCGGACAGAACCTAAGAATCTTAGCTAAGCAGTCACACCCTGGGCCCGTTCCCCCGGGCTCCTGTGAGTAAAACCCACTCGGTTTTGAGTACCAGGCAAGGCTTCACTTGAGCCATCTTGCTTCCACTGGGGACAGCCAGGCTGAGTGCCCCTGTCTCACTGCCCTGGGGACTGTCCCAGGAAACTGGGTTTAGATTGTGCGTGACTCGGGGGGCGTCTGGCCTGCGCTGGCTCAGGGGCCCCGTGGATCTTACATGGGCTGCGCACGAGGCCTGGGCGGGTGCCACGGGGCCTCTGCTGCCCCTTGGCCCCGGGGTGGCCGCTCAGAGCCCTTGTCTGCTGCGTGTCTTGGCTGTGATGTTTCTCGAGGTTGCCGTAGAGTGGGGCCTGCACGGACACCCGCTCTCTGAGGCCCGTACGTTGGTTTTTCTCCCGCAGGGTTTTTCCGCACGTATATGATACGTATGGTACGGGGTAACTTCCAGACTTGTGACTGGGATTTTCACATGATTTTGACGCTGCTTTTTTTCACTGGTCATCGTGCCAGTTGGTTCACGCAACTGGATCATAACTAGAAACAAGAACGTGTGCTTCTCTTTGGATCTTACCTGCTCTTGGGTGGACAGATCTCCCCCAAGTTGGCCTTGTTTCCTGCCCGATGGAGCCCCTGGCCCCGTTCCCCGCCTTGCTCGCCTCTGTGGATGGCCTGGCTGGGCATGACTGGGCGCCCATAAAAAAACACTCATTAAGGCCTCTTTAAGCTCGATGATAACGAGGCTTTCTGTGGATTTTTCTTTTTAAGCTGCGAAGCAAGTGCAGAAAAAACCACCCCACGGAGGGGCAAAATCTGAGAGAGGTAATTCTGAGCCTGCTCCACCCGCAGGGTCATGCCTTTGCGCGCGTGCCTCTTGGGTGGCTTAGGTGTTTAGAGCCGGGAGGACGTGCTTCTGAAACGTAGGTGTCCCACGTTGAGCCTGACGTCGGCACAGTCAGAATTCCTGCTCCTCTCTTCGTGTGCTTTGTGCGGATGTGTCTGTCCAACGGGCCGTTCTAATCCTGCGTGCTCTCGCTGCAGCCGAGGGCTGTGGTGGGCCCAGGGGAGGATGTGCCTCGAGCTGATACGGGGGCTGGAGGTCTGCACTGGCCCCAACCAGGTTACACGTGAGATCGCGCCGGCATCCTGTGGGTGACGGTCACTGTGCTGGACCCGGGGAGGTCGAGTAACTTGCCTAAGGTCGCTCTGCAATTCAGTGGCGCAGAAAGAATCTGAAGCCACCACCAGGTCCACCAGCCAGCCTGTGTGCCTGGGGGCAGAGGGTGGGGGCACCGAGCCCTGCCTGCAGAGCTTGGCACCGTGAGGGAGTTCCAGCGGACACGGAGACTCCGCTCCTTCTCCCCTCGGCAAGAGAAGTTGTCGCTTCCAGCAAAGAGCTGCCCTTCTCCAGCCTGGGGCCCGGCAGGTCCCTGTTTGGTACAAATGGTTCCTGGGGCGGGGGCATCAGCCACCCTCAGAGCTGGAGCCCAGCGTCCAGCCCAGTGCCTCTCAGACTCGAGTCTGCTCAAGAATCCCTGGGAGCGTGGGAAGCACCAGTTTTGCAGGCCCCAGCCCTAGAGATTCTGTCCTATCAGGTCTAGATGGGGCCTGGAGATCTGCATCTTACAGGTCCCACTCCTCCGTGGTGGCTCCGGAGATTCTGATGCAGGGGTGCCTGGGGCCACACTTGGTGAAACACGAATCCAAGAGGCAGACGGAATAGCCAACTATTAAAGTGTGATGGGGGATGAGAAGTGCAGGAAGAGACGCATGTTGGGGAACCCAGGGCTGTTCCGCTGGGAGAGGGGTGGGCCCAGCGGCCTTCCTGGAGGGCTTGGCGCCCACATTGCACCTGGAAACGTGCACTGCTTTTTGCTGCGCATCGCTTTGGTGGGGAGAGGGTTCTCGGGAGGGCAGGGCGGCAGGAAGTGGCATGGCTTGTTTGGAGAGCCAGGGACAGATAGACACGAAGCAGGTATACCATTGTGGAGCCCAGGTACCATAGAGGAGCTGGGAGTTTGGATGGGGTCTGAGGGAAAAGGGGCCTTGAACTTGGAGAACAGCTTAAAATTCACCCTGTGGTTAAAGAGTCCAGTGGATCCAGATGGGCCCCTGGCCCACCATTGCATTGCCCTTATTCAGGGCACAGGCCATGTAGCCCTGCCCGGCCTCACTCACTGCAGGCATTACCATTTTTTCCTCTGAGCTCAGAGTGGGTAAGTGACTTGTCTGAGACCACACAGCTCGCTGGAGCCTCTCCTGGCCCCAGGGCCACAGGGCAGAGTCGGGCCCCCGCTAGGGGGTACTGGGTGGTCCTTGGTGACCACTCTGTTGCTTCTCTGGGAAGCAGGATATCTCTGTCGCAAAGCAGCACGGCTGGGAAGTGGAGGCGTTTCTCTAGAAATGGGCAGCCTCCTGCTGGTGTGACTGAGCTTCTGACCTTGTTTCCACGTGCCTGATCCAGCCCTGAGTCTGGGAACGGACCCCAGGACAGATAGCCCTTTGCTAACTGGCCTCATGCCCTCCTTCCTTTCCAGGTGAATCTGGGAAATCCGGGGACCGCAGTGGCTACAGCAGCCCCGGCTCCCCAGGCACTCCGGGCAGCCGGTCCCGCACCCCTTCCCTGCCGACCCCGCCCACCCGGGAGCCCAAGAAGGTGGCAGTGGTCCGCACTCCACCCAAGTCGCCGTCTGCAGCTAAGAGCCGCCTGCAGACCGCCCCTGGGCCCATGCCAGACCTGAAGAACGTCAAGTCCAAGATCGGCTCCACGGAAAACCTGAAGCACCAGCCGGGAGGCGGGAAGGTAAGGGCGTGCAGAGGCTGGCTGTGCAAGAGGAGGCGGGTGGGTCCCCCGCAGCTGGGCTGGAGGCGGGCGAGCGGCTCTCCTCCCACCACCAGCCTGGGTCCCCCCGCCCACCCCCCATAGCACAAGCACCTCCCCGGCCTCTTCAAGGAAAGACAGTAGGTTACTGTTCGGTTCTTTACTGGGGTCACCACCAGGCCGTGAGTGCCCTGCTCAGGGGAGAGAAAGTACCGGTTCTTCCCTTCCTCACTTCAGCCCTTGCTGATTGGACGGATCTGAGGTGACAGGCTTGTAGCTCCGTGACCTGGCGGTTCTCAAAGTGGGTGCCACAGGGGTTCCCTGGCTGCCTTGTGTTTCGAAAATGAGACAACCGGTCCATAGGTGGGTGTGTCTCTGGTGTTGGTTGGACATTTGTTTAGGTCCCAATTCTGGGGAAATTCGTGATTCTGTTTTGAACACCTGATTCTTCCAGGGACGAATAGGTGCTCATGACATTTCTGGGTCTCCCAAAGTTGGAGAAAATGAGCTTCCAAGGGCCAGAGGTGGAGAGAAATGGGGATGGCCTGGGCCGTCTTCCTCCTCTTCTTGACCCCATCCCCCGTTGTATGAGTTTCCTAGGGTTGACATACGAAATACCATGGCCTGGGCGGCTTATACAACAGAAATGTAACGCCTCATAACTCCGGAGGCTGCAAGTCCAAGATCAAGGTGTCGGCGGGGGTCGTGTCTTCGGGGGCCTCTCTCCTTGGCTTGTGGGTGCCGCCTTCTCCCCATGGCCTCACATGGTCCATCTCTGGGTGTCGCTGTGTCCCAGTCCCCCCCTCCCATGAGGACACCAGTCATATTGGATTAGGGCCCCCCCTAATGAGCTCATTTTAACTTAATGAGCTCTTTAGAGACCCTGTTCCACATACAGTCCCATTCGGAGGTGCTGGGAGTTGGGACTTCAGCGTGTGGATTTTGGGGGACACGATTCAGACAATAGCAGTCCTCCCCCACCAGCACAGGGTGGGGAACAGAGAAGGAAGAAGGGAGGCAGGAAAGGGATTGGAGGACCAAGACCCAGCTCTTGTGTTGGGCCTTCCAGGCTGGGCCGTTTTTGGGGCAGCGAGCCTCCTGGTGGGCAGGGGCCAATGTTTCCCTTTCAGTCGGGACCCCCAGGTGGGGCCTCCGCACTCTTGATTTTATTAATCACTCTTGTCTGGGGCCTGGGTCACCGTGGAGGGAGGGTGTCTCGGAGCACCTTTGGTCCATGTTGGTGCCATTGCCTGAAACCGTGCACTCTGCTTCCCGTGGAGCCTCAGGGACCCCTGCTGGCCTTTCCCATCCTTGGGACCCGAACGGTCCTGCCCAGTGGGGAGGTCTGGGTGCCTCTCGGGGTCTCATCGCACTGGTCTTTGGGCCACAGTGCTGGGCCTGAGCCGTGTTTACCTTCCTGAAGTGTTTGCTGTGCTTCGTAAAGATGCCTGTCTCCTTCCAGAAGGGACTCTGGCGCAGCTGGCTGGGGCGCTGGCTTGAAGTTGACCCCTCTGTGAGGCTCTGGGGGCAGAGGGACCCCCAGGGAGAGGGTTTCCAAGGTGATGGGATGTTTCCCACTGGCGTTCGCACCCCTCCCTCAACGCTGTGGGTGTCCTGTGTGTGCCCTGTTTTCATAGCACAGAGCATTTGCCTGTTTTGAAAAATGAAAAACAAAGCCCCACACGGCCAGTTCTGCACCACTGAGAAGACTGTGGGGCTGTGACCAGCGTGCTCATCATGGCGAGAGGGAAACCATGACCATCAGTGCCTCCCAGCCTGCGGGGCTCTGTCACACACCTGCAACACCTGCCGGCTGCCCCCGCCCATTTGGCCCCGTTCTGGTAACTCCGCTGAGAACAGCAGTGACAGGGCTGACAGGGAGGAACCCACGCCTCGCACCTGAGCCGCCGGCCCCGAGGGCCAGCGACTTGATGCTCAGGGCGGAAATGGGGAGGGTGCCCCCAGGTTATGGCCGCACCGCGCTGGGGCGCAGACGTGTGTCCATGGCAACTGAAGGTTAAAGAAGAAAAGTGACTTTTCTTGGGGCTTTTTGGGGAGGAGATGTGAGGAAGTGGCAGAAGGGGAGGTAACAGCTTCCCCTTAAATTCCATGGAAAACCTAGAAAATTGTGTGAAACAAAGAAAACCTGACCCATAACAAAGTTCAACACATTAATCTCCGGGAAAAACGACAAGAAAAGGAAAAAAGGCACCTGGGATCCAAACAGAAGGCCTTTTAAAATGACTAGACTGGGACTTCCCTGGTGGCACAGTGGATAAGACTCCGCGCTCCCAATGCAGGGGGCCGGGATTCGATCCCTGGTCGGGGAACTAGATCTCACATGCATGCCGCAACTGAGTTCGCGTGCCACAACTAAGGAGCCCGTGAGCCGTAACTAAGGAGCTGGCAAGCCACAACTAAAGAGCCCACAAGCTGCAACTAAGGAGCCTGCCTGCTGCAACTAAGACCCAGTGCAACCAAATAAATAAATAAATAATAAAATAAAATGACTAGACTGAAGGTCCCTCAAGGTCCCGTGAGATCTTTGGGTCCCTGTGTCCTCTCATTCAGCCCAACATACAATACAGTAAGTGCTCAATCACTGTTTATTCGGCTACAAAAGGGGCAACGAATGCTCCAAGAGTCTGAAGGATAACTCAACTCCCGGAACAGATGACACGTTGAAGAAGGAGAAGCAGGAGATGGTCATGTTTGTAAACCTGCAGAGACTGAAAACCGCAACAGATCACTGGTTGGAAAAAAATGTAAAACATCTGTTTTCTGCTTCGTACATTTCTCTGTTTTCATGATTTGCTACAGTGAACATATATTGCTTGAAGAGTCCAAAACGAAATTACTTTTAAAGGAAAATGCAGATGATCACTTGGCCACTTTAACAGAACCAGCTGGACCCACCAAAGGTGGGGAGGGAAGGAAGGAGTAGCAGTTCTCTTGTGACTGCAAAGGAGAATCACCTGGGGCAGGGAAGGGGGCAGATTCTTTTAAAAATCCTAGTGCCAGGGCTTCCCTGGTGGCGCAGTGGTTGAGAGTCCGCCTGCCGATGCAGGGGACACGGGTCCGTGCCCCGGTCCGGAAAGATCCCACATGCCGCGGAGCGGCTGGGCCCGTGAGCCATGGCCGCTGAGCCTGCGCGTCGGGAGCCTGTGCTCCGCAACGGGAGAGGCCACAACAGTGAGAGGCCCACGTACCGCAAAAAAAAAAAAAAAAATCCTAGTGCCAGAGCCTCTCCCTGGCCCGTGACAATCTTGAGAGGGCCTCCCTAGGGGTTCCCAGTGTGCAGTCCAGGCTGAGACCCCATGGGGAGCTAAGATCCCACATGCCTCACAGCCAAAGCATAAAACAGAAGCAATATTGTAACAAATTCAGTAAAGATTTTAAAAATGGTCCACATCAATCAATCAATCAATATTTTAAAAAAGAAAAAAATGGATAGAAATACAGTTGTGACTGGAGGTGTCACAGTAGATATTAGTAAAGTAAAAAGATAAAAGGACAAAGAAAGTCCATGTAATTGAAAGGGGAAAATGAACAAATGTCAGGAATTAAACTGGGCCAAGGGTTTATCTGTTAAGAGTCCAGATATTATGTCAATAATCTATTTAGTCCATAAAGAAAAACACCTATAAATATAGAGAAGCAGAAATTGCTTCTAATCTCTAACCTCATTGTGATACACCAGAACTTCACTGTGTGCATATCACCAGTATGACCACAAATGCTTGGGAATTAAAAACCTTTCCTTTGTCACTGCTCATTCAGTTTGGAAATGAAAATGCCTTTTCCAAGTGCCTTGATAACAAATGCCATAAATTATGTGGTGATGCCCCCAAATTGTACTTAGAACGAACTCATAATTTTAAATGCTTTTATTATTTTAAAAACTTAATGATAGCAGCATATATGTTCTTATTGGAGGGAAAAAAGAATACAAGAAAAGAATAAGAATACAGAAACAAAGATAAGAGCAGAAATAAATTAGAAAACAACATAAAATAGCACCAAAAGCTGGTTCCTTCTCTCTTTCCTTTATTCATTGATACAACATTCCTGCGGCACCTCTGAGCGCCAGGCCCTGTGCTGTGAGAGTTTCTGCCCCCAGGCCCAGGCAGGAGAGAGAGACACATGAGCGTATAAAAAAGGGCAAGAGGAGAGGTTGGCCAGGGAAGCATATGCAGGAGGGGGCAGCCTGCAACCATCGAGGGTCCCCCATACTGAGGGTCGCCTGTACTGCTGTCACCCACACTGAGGGGGTTACCTGCACCCTCAAGGATCACCATACTGAGAGTCACCTGTGTTGTGGAGTGTCACCCACAATATCAGTTGTTACCAAGTCAGAGAAGATAGGACAGACCCTTGTTTGGGACCGTCATTGGGTCTTTGAAAGGAAAGTCCCCCACGTAGAGTGCTGGAGACACAGAAGAGAGAATAGTGGGAAACTGCACCTGGAGATACTCAGAGCAAAAGCAAAATAAAGCTAAAACTGGTACCAGCTGGGGTAGCAGAAGGGCGTGGGTTAGGGTGGAGCTTTGTTCGTTCACGCGAGAGCTTTGGAGAGTTAACAGCTGATAGAGGGAGGTCCCTGCTGGGTGTGCTGTGAACCAGCTCTGTGTTTGCCCCGACAGGACAGGATAGGATGGAGAAGAAAGAGAGTAGTGGAGAGCACCCGCCGCAGAGCCTTTGGCCTGTCAGTGAGTCACGGAGGGGGAGGTGAATAAGAGGGCAGGTCTGGGCCCAGCCCAGGTGATGGCAGCACCAACCTCAGCAGCGTCTCTGTGTGGTCAGCGGAGAGCACAGAGGTCCCAGGTACCTTCCATCATGAGAGAGAAGGAGCTCATATGGGGCTGAGGCTGCCAGGTAAGGAGAACTGGGGGTATCCTTGTGGCTGCCGAGGTGAGAAGGGACATGCAGAGTCATGACCAGAGCATGGGGGGTGGTCTGGTTGGCTTTGAGCAGATGGAGCTAAAGTCACTTCCTCCGAGGATGTCTAAGGCAGTAGCTGGGATGCGAAGGCCCCGGGCAGGACAGAAACCTGCCAAAGCTGCCAGGCTTGGAAAGCCTTGGGCTGCAATATTCCATGTGGCCACGAGATGGCGATGGCACGCTGCATCTGTCTCCATTCTGGAGAACTGTTTCAAAAATTGGTTGCATCTGTTGAAACTTTGTCTCATTTTTAAAAGTACACATGTAGAACATTTATGTGGAGTAAATAAAGTGAGTCTGTACGTAGGATAGTTTGCTTGTCCTGGGTCAGGGCCAGGCACTCAGCTGCACTTGAGCTGAAGTATCAGGCTGTGCAGAGCCAGGCTGAGAGCCTCCTCTGGGATAGCCGTGTAACTCTGAGACCCTCTGGGCATCTCTCCCTATACACAACATCTGTGTTTCTGGAAAAAAATCTTGTGTAAATCCCATCATTATAAAGAATCTTGGGGCAGTCACTGTTTAAAGGAACAGTATAAATAGTTCTAAAGGTGACTCCCCTATTACTTGATCTCCTGTGTCAGTTCTCAGGCTGACCACCTTGGACTTGAAGAGGAGGCTTGCTGTGGGCGTCCAGTGCCCACCCCAGGTTAAATTCCCACCAGAGCATCCCAGCCCCCAATCCTCAGCACTGGGCCTGTTGGCCCTAGCGAGGCCAAGCCAGGCCCAGCGCCAGGCAGTGCTCGAGACAGGCCTCACCAGGGGTGATCCAAGGACACTGGGCCAGCCTGGAAGCTGCTGGGGTGGGAGTGGTGAGGGCTGGGCGATCTGGAGCACATCAAGAAAGCTGAGCCCAAAAAGAACCAGAACAAGGTCTCATGAGGGTTTGGAACCATCTGGGGTTCTCTAGGAAATGGATTAAACCAAAGTGGACCCGCTCCCAGGCTCACACCACCCCAGCCTCTCCTCCAGGGTCGAACCCTGACCACAGGAATTTATCCCTTGACTAGGAGTCCCCGGGATCAAAAGTTGGAGCTTCCAAAACATTGTTTTTTTCCTTTGGCTCTTTTCAGTGTCTGCCCAGAGCTGAGGCTCAGGATCGTACATTTACTCTAGTTGAGAAATTAAGTTTCGGGATTCCAATTTCATAATACAAACCATTGCCCGTTTTTCTCCTTTCTGTAAATCTACCATTCTGAAAAGGGTTGTTGACTTAATTTGACAACTAACAGTAATTCAGGTCTGCTTTGTAAATATCCTTATGTCTCCTGCCAAATCCCACAAAAGCTCGTTGCCTTTTTTGTGGGATTGGAACAAGAAAAAGCTGCACAGAGAAAACATTTCTGTGTATGTTGCACATCTTGTTATTGCTTAATGGCTCTTGAGTTTTTTTGATGTCCTTGTAAGGATTAATACAGAAAATAAGGCAATCCTCCTTGAAAAATGGGTAAGTTTTCTTTGTCAGATAAGAGAGTTATGTAACCCAACATGTTTTCGCTTTTTGCCTTGGCTTCCAGGAAGCTCAGAGTTAAATGTAATGATCAGTCCTATCATTGTCCGTCCTGATGACCTCCTGTTCTTTTACCATTGTCTTTTCAATCTTCTTGTTTTATTATTTTGTGTGTTGGTGTGTGTTTTCTAATTCTAAACTCCAGTTCTCTTATGAAAGCTGGAAAGTCTGCTTCTGGGACTTATCCAATGGAAAGTTATCAATAAAAAATGATCCCCAAAGCAGGAGTTCATGTGGGACTCCTTAAAATTTGAGGGTGGGATGAAATGATTCAAGGACATTGTGCAGAGGTTGACAGCAACTGCCTACAAAGCAGGGTGAGAAAACCTGTTCTACCTCTTCGTCCCAGCTCAAGCCTGGGCTGAGGCGTTGCCACGCTGTCTCCTATATGGCAGGAGAGACGTCACCGTTCACCTTGAGAGAGTGTTGTTTTTATTTGGTTTATGAGACAACAGGCTTGAGAACAGCTCCGGCAAAATATTGTTGTTACGTAGGTAGCCGTGGCCGCAGAACACCCAGATCTAGATTCCTGTGTGGATTCTGCCGCTGACTTGAGAAAGTCACTGAACTTCTCTGGGCTTTAAATGGCCTCTTCATCAGGAAGGTTGGGGGCGGGCCCGAGGGGATGGCAGGTGAGAAGGGTGACGTGGAATTAGGTATTTATCCAGCCTCTAAATGAGGGATGGTTTTTACATTTAAAAACCAGGGATGTTACAAAGGAAGTATATAAAAATGTCAACGTTTGTACGTTAGAAAAAAAAAATACAACTACTAGCAGAAAAAAAGGACAAAGGAACAATTTTAATCATAATCAAAGAAATGCATAATAAGCCAATAACACAGATCCATTTATTTTAATCAAAGAAATAAGAAAAACAATTTCTTTTAATGCACAATGCTGGCAGCAACATGGTGAAACTGACTTTCTCAACAGTGCTCACAGGAGAAATTAATCTGACCCTTTTAGAAAGCCATTTGGAGAGCTGTGTGGAGAGTTTTTAGAGTGTTTGTAACTTTGGCCCAGAAATTGTACTTCTGGCGCTCTGTGCTATGAAAATAACCCACAGAATGGGAGAAACTCCTTGCAGAGCGATGTTCATGATGAGACTGTATTCTTCAAAATGGAATCAATATAAATATCTGATAGCACAGGTGACAGGAAATGCAATCTGACATCTTTTTTAAATTAATGCTTCTGATGACTGTAGAACGTGGCAAATACTTGGTATAAAATAGTATGTACACAATAATTACTGCCATTTCTATGTCTGAGATGGTAGTTTTATTTTTATATATGAGAATTGAAGAGAATTCAAGAAAGTGCAACAGTGGCTGTGCTAGCAAGAAAACGTTTTCTCCTCTTTCTGGAACCTCTGTTTCTCAAAATCGTAATGTCCTGTTACTTTTTTATGATGAAAAAAGGCATAGCTTTCTTTTTGTTTTTTGCGGTACACGGGCCTCTCACTGTTGTGGCCTCTCCCGTTGCGGAGCACAGGCTCCGGACGCGCAGGCTCAGTGGCCATGGCTCACGGGCCCAGCCGCTCCGCGGCATGTGGGATCTTCCTGGACCGGGGCACGAACCCATGTTCCCTGCATCGGCAGGCGGACGGACTCTCAACCACTGCGCCACCAGGGAAGCCCAAGGCATAGATTTTTACTTTAAAGGAACATAAAAGAAAACAAAGTGATGGGTTAGATGTGTGCTTCCCAGGTTTTTTCAATTCAGAGCAGTGAAATTAAGGAATAAAACAGGGATGGGGTCCAAGAGAAGATGACTATATTTTAAATTTTGCCAGGTTAAGGACATCTAAAAATAATATCTCCTATCGATGTAATTTAATAATTAATAATGTAATAAAGGAAAGGCCATTTTATTTTCATTTTTATTTTTTTAAATTTTATTGGAGGAAAGGCCATTTTTAAAACCAAAAAGTAGGACGGACAAATTTTGCTGTCATGTCCTTATTTCCTCCTTTGGCTGAGGACCTGTGGACCCCTTGATGGCCGGCTCTGGCTCTTGGGTCAGATTTGGGGCCCTTCACCCTAGATGAGCCAGGCCCCGGCTCTGACCCCCCAGCTACAGCTGCCCTAAAGGCTGCCCCCGGGGCTCAGGGGCAGTGGCCCCCACCTGGCAGCAGCTGAGGTCTAGGTGCCATTTCCGGCATTTCAGAGGGCAGTGCTGGTTCTTCATTGGAAACTTCAGTTGCCAGTTATCTATACCTGTGATTAATAGAAACTAAGGCCCACCGGTTCCAAATACAGCACTCCTGATGGAGGACACCCGGCGAGGATGTGATCCCTGCTCTGGCAGACAAAACGCAGAGTTTCTCAGCTCCCCTTCTCTGCACCATGGTTGTCTGTCTATGAAATGCACAGACAAATTGGGTAAAAATCATTCCCCCCTGGAATGTGGATAGCCCCACACCCTTTCCCTGGTGCCTGGAGAAGGAGAAGCCTCGCAGAGATACAGTGGGATCTCTACCATCTGGACAACACCTGCCCAGGAAAAGTTAGGGAAGGTCACCTGGGAACATCGCCCTGTTCCCTGAGCGCCTGGTGGTTTGTGGATGAAGGGGAGCCGATGGTGCAGGGCAGGCACTTACCCTGCCTTCCAGGAGGCCAAGGCCTCCCATGGAAGGGGGTCCAGATTTATCTTCTCCATAAAACCACCTGTGTCCTCCCCATGAAGTCTGTGATTCTCGAACCTAGCCATGCATCTGAACCAGGCACCAGGGGTGCTTTTCATAAGCACAAAGACTGAGATTCTAAGGTCAGGAGTGAGGTCTGGCATTTTAAAAATATGTCTGCGGGCGATTCCAGTACCTAACAGACTTGAGGACAGCCACCTAAAGGTCTCGGTGAATGTTCACAGGGGTCTGGTAGGTGTATGAATGAGGCCACAGTTGGGACTTTTATTTGTTCATTTAATAATGTAACTGAGTACATTCTGCTCCATCCCAACCTGGTGGACACTCCGAGTTTTAGGCCTCCAAGGTGCTCTCTGGGGGGGCCTCCCTAACGCAAGCCTCATGTAAAGGGAAGAGCTGCCTCCTGGTGGATCCGTTTTGTAAACCCAGTGCTGTAAGGTGGGGTCCACCTCCAGCCACTCACAGCTCTGGAATGCTTCCCGGGAGGTGTGAGTGAGCCCTGTCCTCCTCTCCCTGGCCTGCAGCCAGACGTGTTTGTGCGGGGCAGGTGCATCTGAGTGTGGTGTGTCACTCATCCTTTTTTCTGGCTGTCAAAGGTGCAGATAATTAATAAGAAGCTGGATCTTAGCAACGTCCAGTCCAAGTGTGGCTCAAAGGATAATATCAAACACGTGCCAGGAGGCGGCAGTGTGAGTACTGTCACGCTATCCCTGCGCCGAGCTGCGGTTCCGGGTTTGAGAAGTGGCATGAGTTTGTACTTGCACATTGCATAGAATAAACCGTTCTCAGGCTCGGGGTCTGTCCGGGTCCCCAGGTAAATGTAGCTCAGGCTCCCCTCACCCGTGCCTGCCGTTCCGGGAGGGGCGCCCCAGCGCTGCATGGGTGGAACGGGGAAGGTGACTGGTCCTCTTTCCGACCTGTTCCTGGTGGCCGGGTCCTCACAGCATAAGCCCCATCTTCGCCCCCGCTCACTGGGAGCCCCACAGCTCGTTTGAGTTTGGGCTGAAGGTGGCAGCACCTGACTGCTCCGTCACCTGGTCAGGTTCACTTTAAGGGGCTCCACTGGGGACAGCTGGCCTGCTTGTTCTGACGAGCCGACGCAAAGGTCTTTACCATCCTACGTCAGAGCAAGCAGAGGCCAGGCTCTGCTCGCCTTTGACTTCTGCATTTGCGAGGGATGAGCTGATGCTTAAGCCTCTCGGCTCATGTTTGAAAACAGCTCCACCCCCGGCAGAAGCTCCAGATGCGAAAGAGCCCCACAGAAGTGCACCAGGGACCTGCCCGCGGCCGAGGGCGGACAGAAACGCCGCTTGGAGCCTTTTTAGATTTGCCCTCCTCCAGGTGTCCCTGCGGACTCCCTGCATCCCCAGCGGATGTGTCCCTGAGATTTGGGCGTGGCATCCTCATTCTCGCCTGCCCACTTGGCCGGCTCTGCTGTTATCCTCCAAGTTCACAGACAAATGGGTGCAAACGCAGCATCCTGAGGCTTGGCCCCCCTTCTCCGCAGCCTCCCTCGCTCCCCCAGCCTTCTTGGTCAGCTGGAAGCAAATGTTTATGAACACGTCGGGGAACGGGATGTTCGAGACCCTTTGAGGTCCACCCGTGGGGAGGAGGATGGTTTCTGAGAGCAGGCATCTGGCCTCTGGCTGGCAGTGCCGGGGTGACAGTGGGAGAGACCTCCCTCTCTCTCCAGAAAGTGCCCAGCCTGGGCCCGCATATCTGCGTCCGGACCTGGGGGTTTATTCTTGCAATGCGCTGCTGCCTCCTGCCCTGAGCGCCGGGTCCTGGCTCTGCCACTGACGAGGCTGCTGCATGGCGCTCCACTCACGCTTCCTCACCAGTGTCTGCTCAGTGTCTCCGCTGTGCCCCCGGCCCCTGCTCTCCCGTCCCACTGCCACCTCGTCTTCCGCCAAGAGAAGGGCTGGGGACCACCCCAGGCTGTGATCCTGGGCTCCCAGGGACGTTGCTGTTTTAGCTTTGACTCGGGCTCTCGCTTCCCTGCAGATGGCAGGCTCTGGCCAGAGAAGGAAAGACATGTGCTTTCCGGTTTAACTCGCGTCTGGTGTGTCTGGTCAGCTGGTGGGAGCTTGTGCTGCTAGGGCCGAGGGTGGGGTCCAGTGGCTGCAGTCACCGCCCCGCTCCTTCAGGCGGAAGGTGGGGGCAGGGGGTACATTCCCTCTGCGGCTGGCGGTGCCCAGGACATCAAGGGACTTCCTCAGGGGCACCTCCCCTCCCCCCTGCACTCTGCCAGCTGGTGGCCTAGCCTGTGACCACGGCAGAGTGCCACAGGATGTCCCGGGCTGGCCCCCGAGCGCTGTCCGTGGCCTGTGGCCCCGGCAGTAGGAGCCGCCACAGAGAGCTCTTCTCCTGGTGAAAGGTTGGGGGGTGACAAGCCCCAGCACAATGTCAGCCTCAGGCGTTTTGGGGACAGTGGACCCTTGGCCTGGGCTCTGCCTCTGTTTGCTCCCTGCCCCTCTTCTCCTCAGCTGGGAGGTGACTCCCCAGCAGGCAGGCTCTGTTCCTTCTCCTAGGGATTCTCCCTGCCTCCTGGCCGGCTCCGGGATGCACTCCAGAGCCTGGCCTCCTCCCTCCCACTCCCTGGCCTCCAGTCTGCCTGACCCCCTCTCCCTCCCCTCCCCATTTCCTTTCCCCTCCTCTCCCTTCCCTCCATTCCTTTCCCTTCCCCATTCCTTCCCCCTCTCCATTTCCTTTCCCTCCCCTCCATTCCTTTCCCCTCCCCTCCCTTCTCCCTCCCCATTCCTTTCCCTTCCCTCCATTCCTTTCCCTTCCCCTCCCTCTCCCTCCCCATTCCTTTCCCTTCCCCCATTCCTTTCCCCTCCCCTCCCTTCCTCCATTCCTTCCCCCTCCCCATTCCTTCCCCCTCCCCCATTCCTTTCCCCTCCCTTCTCCTCACCATTCCTTCCCCCTCCCCCATTCCTTTCCCCTCCCTTCTCCTCCCCATTCCTTCCCCCTCCCCCATTCCTTCCCCTCCCTTCTCCTCCCCATTCCTTCCCCCTCCCCCATTCCTTTCCCCTCCCCTCCCTTCTCCCTTCCCATTCCTTTCCCTTCCCCCATTCCTTTCCCCTMCCCTCCCTTCTCCCATTCCTTCCCCTCCCCATTCCTTCCCCTCCCCCTTTCCTTTCCCCTCCTCTCCCTTCCCCCCATTCCTTTCCCCTCCCCTCCCTTCTCCCTCCCCATTCCTTTCCCTTCCCCCATTCCTTTCCCCTCCCCTCCCTTCCCCCATTCCTTCCCCTCACCATTCCTTCCCCCTCCCCCATTCCTTTCCCCTCCCTTCTCCCTCCCCATTCCTTTCCCCTCCCTTTTCCCTCCCCATTCCTTTCCCCTCCCCTCCCTTCCCCCTCCCCATTCCTTTCCCCTCCCTGCCAATCCAGGCTCTCCCTTCTTCACAGCTCCACCCTCCCTTCTCCCCCACTGGTTACTGCATCCAGGCTGAAGGGAAGAGAAGAAAGCCTGTACACACCAGCCTCCACTTTCATCTCCCTCATAAAGGGAAGGAGGGGGGAGCTCCCATAGCCCTGCCTCCACCCCACCCCCGAGGGCCCATCGTGCTCAGAATCCACGTTAACTCACCAGCGCCCACAGGTGCGGGCTCTCCACACCTCCCTCCATGCACCCACGCACACAGGCCACGTCCACCTGTCAGCCTGAATCAACTCCATCAGTAATCGGCAGACGCCAGTATGATTTTGATTAACTAGCGTAATTTGGGATTGTCCCAGATGATTTAGACCTAAGTAAAAACTCCTTTTTTTCTGATGTCCTTGTTAACCCTGTTCTCAGGCACGAGGCCGTCTCTCTCCTGGGTGACTCCAGGGCAGGGCGCAGGGGCCGACTGGCTCCGCGGCAATGGGCCTCCTGTACCCTCAGGTGACCTCACATGAGGGAAGTGTCACCCAGGGACCATCAGGGACCCCTCACAGCCATGGCTTTGTAGAGACTTCCTCTAGGAGACCCCTCTGCTAATGCTGGGTCCCCGCGGGTTTCTCCTCCGGGGCGCTGAGATCAGCAGGCGGCTGTGGGGGGGGCGGTGGCTGTGTGGCCTGGCCACGTGCTGGACCCTCAGGCTGGCTCTGAGCTCTGAGGCCCTTAGGCCTCCCCTACGTGTGTCTGCTGAACCTGCCTGAGACACTAAACCTGTGATTTCTGCTGTGCCGCCTGCCCATCCTGCTGGTGTTGCTTTGCTCCTTTCTGTAAAGAACCAAAATGTCCAGGACACTGTGTGCCCTGGGGCAGGGTGTGGGGGGGGTGCGGGGGACAGCTGGTGCTTAACTCTTACTGGGCTGTGGGACTGCTCTGGGGCCCTCTCTGTTGTGGGCTGCTGGGTTTGTGAAGCTTCTCCTGGGAGGAATGCTAACAGCCCCACGCCGCCCTCTGCTCTCAGAGGCCCAGCAGATATGGCTCTCTTGCTTTTCCAAGATTTTTCAAATGCTGCACAAACAGATCGTATTGATCCCTTCTTTCTTTCTGTCTTCACTGAACGTGATCTGTGGATGTCATGTCAGGAAAGAGAATAACTTTATCTCGTGTAAGTGTTTGCTAAACCAAAGGTGTAGGCCCTGCACAATGGGGAAGTAGCCCTGTTTTTCCCCGAGGGTCCTTGTCCTGTGGAATTGAAGGCCACTCCATTTGTTTTGTGAAGACCCAGCTCCCCTGGGGCAAGGTTGGCAGAATTCCAACACATTTTCCCGCCATGACTAGGGTGTCTTCCTCGTGGCAGACAGGAAAACACCGAGCAGGGCCTGGACTTAGCTGCTTTTCATTGCGTTACGCCCCCAATAGAATAATCCTATTTTACTGTCCCTCTCATTCTCTCTCTCCTGCAGGTGCAAATAGTCTACAAACCAGTGGATCTGAGCAAGGTGACCTCCAAGTGTGGCTCATTAGGCAACATCCATCATAAGCCAGGTAACCAGCCCTTGCGGAAGGCAAGGACGGAGCGGGGAGGCCCGAGCAGTGGGACAGGATGGGGTGGTGCCTTCTCCGGAAGTGGTTGGGAAGGACTGAGGGGATGGGCCATCAAGGAGAGTGTTAAGGGTGGGACTTGCTGCGGCCTGGGAGGCGTGGCTTCGCGTGTTGTTCCTGAGCAGGGCCAGGCTGGCCAAGACGAGATAAGGAGGGAGGGCAGATGATGGTCTAAATCCTAACCCGCAGTTCTCCAAGCAGGCTGCACACGGGGTATGTAGAGCTGGGAAAGGGCCTGATCTGGCCCCCAAAGCCTGGCTAATGTGGATGTCCCAGTTTGGTTCTCAGCCAGCGTGAGGAGCATTTCACCAGTTGCCCCAGCTACAACATGGGGCCCTGGGCTGTTGCCATGCTCTCACTGTCATTTCATTTCAGCAGAAAATGATGCTGTTGGAACTCCCCGTGCTAACCCTTTCCCTCTCCATCTCATGCCGTATAGAAATCAGTGCTATCTATAGATCTTTCTGAGACAGTGGAAATGTTCTATACCTGTGCTGTTCAGTATGGTAGCCACTAATGACATGTGACTATTGAGCATTTGAAATGTGGCTGGTGTAGTTGAGGAACTGAACGAATTTTATTTAATTAAATTTGGGGAATTCCCCGGCAGTCCAATGGTTAGGCCTTGGCGCTTTCACTGCCGGGTGGGCCTGGGTTGGATCCCTGGTCGGGGAACTAAGATCCCACAAGCCGCACCGGCGTGGCCAAAAAGATAAAATTCAATTAAAATTTAAAATAAATAAATACAATTTAAGTAGCTACAGGTGGCTAGTGGCTACCATCTTGGAGAGCTAACTTCCGCCTGAAAGGCCAGAGCAGAAACGTACTCTAGAAGGTGTGTCATTACATCCTGCCTCCCTTGGACATCTTGTGGGAGTTCAGTCTCTCCCAGTGAAAACTGTGCCTCTCCTGAGGCTACCATCCTACCACGCTGGGAGCATCTTTCTTTTTTTTTTTTAATAAAGTATGGATATTTTTTAAAAAATTATTTATTTTTGGCCGTGTTGGACCTTTGTTGCTGCGCACAGGCTTTCTCTAGTTGCAGAGAGCGGGGGCTACTCTTCGTCGTGGTGCGCGGGCTTCTCATTGCGGTGGCTTCTCCTATTGCGGAGCACAGGCTCTAGAGCGCAGGCTCAGTAGTTGTGGCGCACGGGCTTAGTTGCTCCGCGGCATGCGGGATCTTCGCGGACCGGGGCTCGAACCCATGTCCCCTGCCTTGGCAGGCAGATTCTTAACCTCTATGCCACCAGGGAAGTCCCAAGGGAGCAGCTTTCTTAAGTGGCTTTATCCTTCCAAAGAAAGTAATGTAGTTCGTCTCTTCCTCAGGCCATATCTCCCACACTTGGGCATGGCATCACGTGTCTGAGGAGGGAGAAAGGGTCAGGGCCCTTCCTTATTAAGGGTGCATTTTGCCATTTAGTTTAATCCTGAGGTCTTATAGGGCTGTAGCTTATAGGATGTTGGCATAGAAAGACTTGACTCTTTGGAAGCCAACTAATTTAGAATAATTTCTTGTGAACTGAGCTGTCATCTACCTTTGCATCATCTGAGGAGGAAGAGTTTGCTGAGTAAATATTTGATGTGCACCCTGATTAGAGAGAGAAAGCAAACTGCTTTCAAGCCCTTTGGAAGGACCTACTTGCTCCAAACTACGCTCTAAATAAAAGCTGGTCTTAGCTCCCCCTCAAGGTTGGCGTCTGCATGGAATCACTCACTTGCTTAGCCCTCACTCAAGGCTTGGTGCCCTTGTGTGTATTGTGTTCCAGGAGGTGGCCAGGTGGAAGTAAAGTCTGAGAAGCTGGACTTCAAGGAGCGAGTCCAGTCCAAGATCGGGTCCCTGGATAACATCACCCACGTCCCTGGCGGAGGGCATAAAAAGGTAAAGGGGCAGGGCGGGGAGGAGGCTATAACAGAGTCAGGCGGACAAGGCTGGTCCAGTTTCCCACGGCAGGAGAGCTGAGGGTCCTGTATTGACTGGCTTGACATGGATTCTCAGCTACCACCAGGCCTGCGGGGCTCCACCTGGGCTGCCCTTTGATGTCCCCTGGGAGCTTTAACACACTTGATGCCAGGCCCCACCCTGGAGATCCTAATTGGTCTCAGGTGCCACCTGGGCACCTGGAGTGGAGCCTTTAAAGCCCCCAGGTGACTCTTTAGTGCAGTTAAAGGTGAGAGCCATTGCCCTAGGCCCTGTGGTGGGCGAGCATCCCCAAAAGGAAGTAGCCGTCACCAAAGCCAGCCACGGGAATGTAACCTAACTCTCTAAATGGGTCACTAGGCAGTTAGAGGAAATCAGTGATGCTGGAATCCAGATTTCAGCAAAGCCTCTGTAAGTGTCCACGGGGAGGCTGCTAGACCAAGGACCTCAGCGCTCCCTGCAGTTTCTAGAGGCCCTGGGCCTGGCTCTGGGTGTGTGTGCAGTGGGGGCCGGGGGACACCCGTGTCTCCCTCTGGGCCCATTGCAGAATGCCGTCTTGTGGCTGCACTTTTTCTCTTGTGCATAAATACAGCGAAGTACCCTCTGGGGTCTCCTGCCCACGCCTGCCCTGAAGTTCTGCAAGTGGCTCACTTTCCAGTCTTCAGTGCCTCTCAGCAGCTGACTGAGGAGTGGTGAAGGGAGAAGGGATGTCCGAGAACGGGTGTGGCAACTGAAACCCAACGCCGCAGTGAGCAGCGGTGCAGCCCAAGGGGGCCCCGCTGGTCAAAAGTGGCAGCCGGGCCTTGCTTGGAGGCCGCCAGGGTCCCCACGGCAGTCAGCACCTCCTCCTCTGGTTCTGAACAGACACACCCCACCTTTGCAGTGAAAGCCCGACAGCATAGTTTTGGAGAAGCCTTTGCTGGTGTGTTCTTAAATCACAGGTTGCAAACTGAGACCTCGGGGCCCATCTGACCCGTGATGCAGGCGCCCGAAGGCGGGGGGAGGACGGGGTCCTGGCTCCCCACAGGGCTCCCTGACCATCAGGCTTCCACATACTGGGCTTCCCCAGGGGCAGGACTACTTCTCAGTGCCGCCTGGGTCTCTATTAAAAGTGAGACCCAGGGAAATGAGAAGGTTTTCTGCAAAAGGCCGGCTTGTTTCCATCGCAGCCCCCAGCCTGTTTAATACAGGGCGTCCCTGCCCTGGGGAGCTTTAAGGAGACCACGTCCCACCCCCAGAGAGTCTGAATATATTGTATATGGAATGAGTCTGGGTAGGCCTGGGCGTTGGTGATTCCCAGTTGAAGGAAGGCCTCTACCCCTGACTCTGGAAGCTTCTGTGTCCTGGGAAAAGCTCTGGGCTTGACTGCTTGGAGGCGTGACCCAGGCAAGATCTGCAAGCCATCTCAGCGTCAGGTTCCCCTGCAGCAAAGCGGATGGAAACATTCCCGTCCCAGGGTGGTTGTGAGGCCCGGATGAGGCGGTGTTCAAGAGGATGCCCGGAGCTTTGTCGTCATCAAAGAACATGAGTTAGAGCCAGATCCGAGTCAGAACTTCTCCTGTTTTAACTCATCTCTGTGATGCCTCAGAAAGGGTGGGCTCTGCCCTGCCCACTGCCCAGGAGACACTGACCTGGTCCCAGAGGGTCCTCTTGTGTTCAGTCCCCTATTTCCCTCTGTGATGAGCAAAACTGCTGACAAGCAGTGGAGCGTAGGACCCCTGCCACCTGAGTTCCTTTCAGTTTGGGGGATTTGGGGACATTCCCAGGATGCTGTCCCATTTTTCTTAAGAACGTAAGTGTTCTTATCAAAGCTTATGTCAAAATGGCCTTTCAGTTGTAGTAATAAGGAAAAGTCCTTTTTTCAGAGTAGTAACCCAACGTGAACAAAACAAGCATATGGCTTAAATGGGAGCCTGGTTTTTCTCTACACTCAAATGCCCCTGCAATAGGCCCTCTTTACCTGGGGTCCAGGGACTCCTGAAACTGTAGGGAGAAGTTGTCATGTGCGTATGAGAGCAGACACGCGTGTGTACACATTTTCCTGGTCTCACCAGATGCTCAAGGAGGTCTTAGGACCCAAAACAGGCTGAGAATTACTGTGTTTACCACTTCAGGACTCATCAGGAGAGAATTATGATGTACTACTGGCATCTCCAGCTAATGCTTTCTGCTTCTGAGCTTCCCAGGTATCCTTTGGAGCTGAGACCTCTGGGTCAAGGATGCTCTACTTCATTTTTTGTTTATTTTTAAATTGAAGTATAGTTGATTTACAGTGTCGTGTTAGTTTCAGGTGTACCGTACAATGATTCAGTTATACATACATACATATATATATTCTCAGATTCTTTTCTCTTACAGGTTATTGCAAAATATTGAGTATAGTTCCCTGTGCTGTACAATAGGTCCTTGATGGTTATCTATTTTATATATAGTAGTTTGTACATGTTATTCCCAACCTCCTAATTTATCATCCCCTCCCCTTTCCCCTTTGGTAACCAGAAGTTTGTTATCTGTGAGTCTCTGTTTTTGAAATAAGTTCATTTGTTTGCTTTTCTTTAATTTTTTAAATTGAAGTATAGTTGATTTACAGCATTGTGCCAATCTCTGCTGTATAGCAGAGTGACTCAGTTATACACATAGACATTCTTTTTTTATATTCTTTTCCATTTTGGTTTATCACAGAATATTGAGTATAGTTCCCTGTGCTATACAGTAGAACCTTGTTGTTTATCCATCCTGTATATAAGAGTTTACATCTGCCAATCCCACACTCCCAGTCCTTCCCTCCCCGACCCCCCTCTCCCTTGGCAACCACGAGTCTGTTTTCTATGTCTGTGAGTCTGTTTCTGTTTTGTAGATAGGTTCATGTGTGCCATATTCTAGATTCCACTTACCACACATAAGTGATGTCATATGGTATTTGTCTTTCTGTCTGACTTACTTCACTTAGTATGATCATCTCCAGCTGCATTCATGTTGCTGTGCAATGGCATTATTTCGTTTTTCTATGGCTGAGTAGTATTCCACTGTATATATATACCACATCCTTTTTATCCATTCATCTGTCGATGGACATTTAGATTGTTTCCACGTCTTGGCTATTGTGAATAGTGCGGCTGTGAACACAGGGGTGCATGTATCTTTTGAATTACAGTTTTGTCTGGGTATGTGCCCAGGAGTGGGATTACTGGATAATGTGGCAACTCTATTTTACTTGTAGACTTTCTGATGATGGCTGTTCTGACTGCAGTGAGTGTTAACCTCATGTGGTTTCGACTTGCATTTCTCTAATAATCAGCGTGAGCATTTTTTCATGTGCCTGTTGGCCATCTGTACTTCGTCTTTGGAGAAATGTCTGTATGTCTTCTGCCTACTTTGTATTGGGTTGTTTTTCTGATGGAGTTGTACGGGCTGTTTGTGTGTTTGGGAACGATGCCCTACTTTCAAAAGGGCTTTGTTGCACCGTGTTTTCTAGTATACCTGCCAGTGCTGCGCACAGCGGCTGCCACCTCCAGCATCCTCATCAGCCACTGGCAAAGGGGAGGCATGTGTGTGGCTCACAGCTGGACAGCAGGGGCTCCGGCCCCATCCCTGAATCTCCTCCAGCCTCTCCTTCCACACTTTCATTTGCAATTGGGCAATGTGTGTACGTCAAAATAAAACGCGCACGCCTTTTGACCTACTAGCAATTCCACTTCTGGGATACACTTACAGTACACGTGTGAAATGAGATGCCTACAAGGTTATTCGAACACAGCATTGTCTGTGAGAGCAAAAGACTGGGACAACCTAAATACCCACCCACAGGGGCGTGGATACGTTTTGGTTCATCTGCTGTGACAGGAAACCACACAGCCCTCAGCGAGCAGTGAGGGAGCTATGTACGGATGACGATGCAAGGTATTAAGTCTAAACACCCAAGTGCGAAGCTTGTGGATATCGTTGCCTTATGTATGGTAATTTTTTTCCTTTACTCACACAGACGCATGTTTGCGTGTGTGGTGGCCTATCTCTGGAAAGGTACACAAGAAACTCACAGTGATCGCTGTCTCTGGAAAGGGGGCCTGGGAGGCTGGCTGGCAGGTGACCAGGACCCAGCAGAAGCTTAGCCGTTGGGAAACTATGAAACTGTGGTCCCCACCACGCCTCCCTCCCACCCAAGGCCAGCAGTTGGCGGGGCCTCTCCGCCTCACCCTGCCCTCTCCTCTCTTGCAGATCGAAACCCACAAGCTGACCTTCCGTGAGAACGCCAAAGCCAAGACCGACCACGGGGCGGAGATTGTGTACAAGTCGCCTGTGGTGTCGGGGGACACGTCCCCACGGCACCTCAGCAACGTCTCCTCCACTGGCAGCATCGACATGGTGGACTCACCGCAGCTGGCCACGCTCGCCGACGAGGTGTCCGCCTCCCTGGCCAAGCAGGGTTTGTGATCAGGCCCCCGGGCGGTCAGTAATCGTGGAGAGACGAGAGTGAGAGAGTGTGGAAAAAAAAAGAATAATGATCTGGCCCTTCGCCCTCTGCCCTCCCCCAGCTGCTCCTCACAGATCGGGTAATCGGTTAATCACGTAACCTGCTTGTCGCTCACCTCTGGCTCGGGACTTCCAAATCGGTCACGGGAACGAGAGCCAAGTTCATCTTTCCAAATTGACGGGCGGGCCAATCATAATAAAATACTTTTAAAAACCTTTAAAAAGATGGCCCTACCCAGAATTTCCTTGGGCAGTTACTTTCGATTCTTTTTTTTTCCCCCCTCTGAGTGCAAGAGGGAGGAGGAGAGGCTCTGAAAGCTGCTTCTGGGGACTCTCAAGGGCCTGGGGGGGCGCCCCGTTCTGGGGGTGTCACAGAGGCAGCAGCGGCAACAAGGGACTCGACACTTGGTGCGCTGGTGCAACCACAGGCGTAGGGCCACCTTTGGAGCAGGACGGGGTGCAGGGGTGGGGGTGGGGGGCTGGGCGGGGCTAGGGCGAGGTGAGGGGGGGTGTGTGGGACATGAGGATGCCAGAGGAGAAGCTCAGGGAGGAGATGCTGAGGACGGCCCGGAGGCGCAGCAGGCAGGACACAGCCTCTGCCGCCCACAGCAAACTCGGACCAAGTGGCCTCCGGTTCTTGGTGGCCCGGGGTCTGCTGCGGGTCGGCGTGCCACCCTCTGGAGGGAGGAGGGCTTACACCACGAAGGGCCGGGGGCGGGAGGAGAAGGAAGGTTGGGGGAGTGGCATCCTGTGGGTTACTTCCTCGGAGAAGACCGAGCGCTGGCCTCTTTCTCCCTCCCCGCAGGGTGGGGGTCCTGAGCTGAGGGGCTTCCCTCTGCCCCGCGGAAACCCTGTTTTATTGAGTTCTGAAGGTTGGAACTGCAGCCACGATTTTGGCACCTCACAGACCTGGGACTTTAGGGCTAACCGGTTCTTTGTAAGGACTTGTGCCTCTTGGGGGACATCCGCCTGTTCCCAAGCCTGGGCCTCTGGCATCTCTGGAGTGTATGGGGGACCAGGGAGGTGGCCCCTGAACCTCTCACGGCCACCGCAGCCACCTGTCTGCCCCACCATGCCTGTGTCTGCCGTGCGGAGCCCAGTCACTGCCTGTACCCCGCATTACATCACGCTGTCCCGAGTTCCCAGCCTAACCCCACCCCCTTTCTCAGTAACGGACATTGTTTAGATGGGGAGGCACCTCCTCTAAACCAAGGGGGAAAGTCAAGGAGGGTGAAGTCCGGACACGGCGGGGGGACCTCAGTCTCTCAGTCTAAGTTGTACTCATCCAGCTGGCATGTCCCTCACAATGAACCTGATGACCTTACTCGGCTCCCTGCCCCTGCCCCCATCCCAGATGGGAGCCAGGGTGGGGTTCGCAGTGACCCTGGACGTTTATGCCTTGTTTACTTGGAGAGCCTTTTCTCCCAGAAGGCCTGGTTCCCTTCCTGTGCCGAGCTGGCAGCAGGTTGGCCGTCCTGGATGCCAGAGATGGCACGGGGACGGGCAGGCAAGGCCCCCAGGGCAGGACCACGCTCCCTCCGTTCCTTACGTCTGCCCCAGCTTGTGACTGCCAGCCTCTCAAGAGAGCCCAGCCGCTGCTCAACCCCAAGAGCATATAATCAGCCCTCACCCCAAAAAGGGAAACATGCCCCCTCGGAAATGGTTCTTCCCCCAGTCTCAGCTGGAAGCAATGCTGTCTTGTCCTCCTGGAGCAGCTGAACATATACATAGATGTCGCCCCTCCCTCCCCATCTGCACCCTGTCGCGTTGTAGTCGGATTTGTCTGTTTATGCTTGGATTCACCTGAGTGACTATGATAGTGAAAAGAAAAAAAAAAAAAGAAAAAAAAAAAAAAAAGGACGCATGTATCTTGAAATGCTTGTAAAGAGATTTCTAACCTACCCCCCACGGGAGTCCTAGATGTCTCTCACCCCCCAGCTGGGACTTGGATCCAGAAGGCCAGTGTGACTCTCTTCTGTGGGGCCTCCCAATTTTTGAAAGACTTTCATCAACATCTGGGACCCAGCGGAGACCAGATGCTGACATCTGAGAACCCTCAGCTGCAAAGAAGGCCTGAAGCACAGGAGGAGGACAGAAGCTATGGTACCCACCCCCGCCCCCCCCGCACCCGGGGCTCCCTTCTGTCAGGCAGGGGGCAGTGTGTCTTGTGGTGAAGATGGCCCTGGAGAAGCCCCACAGCAGCCTTGAGAGAGGGTCGTACAACTAACTCCTTGCGTCACGAGTGCCGGCTGGGGAAAGGTCTGCAACCCACCCTCCAGCCCGGGGTCCCGCTCCAAGCTCTCCCGCAGGAAGGCTGGCCCAGGCCTCCCCACCAGGGGCCTGATGGCCACAGCAGGGGTTAGGATGCACTGCCTGCCCTGGACTGGCCCCAGGGGCCTGAGCCGCCTGACAAGGGTGACAGGTCAGGAGACAACCATTTCCAAATCCTTGGCCAGAGCCCCTGCTGACCTTGCATGAAACCCATCTCCTGCCATGGGGAAAGGGAAGCAGCCTTTGTAGAAATCTGCTGTTTGAAGAAAATCCGCAACCTCGGCTTGGTTCTGCCACTTCTGATTTGGGTACGGTTAAAGGCAACCGTACGGGGCTGGGTGGTTGGAGTCCAGGGCCAGACGCTTCATCTGCAGCCAGAGGATCACCTGGGCCCCAAACTTCCCGCAGTGCGGCGGCTCTCCTTTGTCCTCTGGGTCCCAGCTGGTCTTGGAAGGGTTCTGAGGAAGAAAGAGGAAACTTGGTGTGAAGATCTGGTAGCTGTTAGAGATGCAGCCCCTCATTACTGCCACCAATTCGGGCTGCATTTCTTGAACCTCTCCCTGCAGTTTCTTCACCCAGCCCTCCAGTACGTTTTTCCGAGGGCCTTACTCAGCGGGCACCTCGTGTTGCGTGGGCTGTCGGGAGCAGCCTAAAGAGCGTGATTTAGGGTCATCAGGTCAGTGCTGGCAGGGAGCCTGCGGAGCGCAACGCTGGCTTGGAACCGTAAAAGAGGACACGGCCCCCAGGGCTGGGCACTCCCCCACCGCCGTTTCTTCCAGGGCCGGTGTCCCTCGGGTGGGCTAGATGGGATACACTATCCGCCTGGTCGCTTCAAGCTCTGCATTCACTTTATCAAAAGTTCCATTTAAACTGACTTCAGTGGTGAGACCGTATCCTGTTGGCAACTGCGTGTTGTGCTCCTGGTGGGGCCGTGGGGGGGAGAGGAACCTGTAGGAGAGTTACCACTGGGCAAAGGGGAGTCTTGGAGAGCAGGAGTCCAAGGCCTGGTAATACTTTTCTTCCTGATTTCAATCACGTGTGCTAGAGGTCCCTTGGGATTTCACCTTCTCACCGACAGGTGCCACAGGCTGCCAGCTAGTTCCCATCTCCTTCCCGGCCAGGTGCAGGCAGTGAGGCTTGTGGAGGAATCCGGAGATATGGTTGCTGTGACCTGCTGCCCTTTCGCGGGGTTCCCAAGCCCGCAGTCATGCCTCCCGAACACGCTGGCATCCTTTCCTTTAAGCTGCTGGCACCTCCACGTCACCTTTCCCACCAGCTCCGGACACACAGCCTGTACTCCTAGTAGCTGCTAAGATCTCGTCACCCTTAAATCTCTGTCCTCCAAGGAAAGCAAAGAGGCAGGGATGAGGGCAGACGTGGAGGTCATCAGCTTGTCCTGTCTACAGATCTGTGGCTTCAAGAGACTTCTGGTTTCTCTTCAGCTTTGGAAAGGGTTACCCTGGGCGCTGACCCAGAGTCTCGCCTCCTGACGGACTCAGCCCCGTGAATTTGCAGTGTTGCGCAGGGCAATTTCTGGCACTTGCAAGTCCCATGATTCCTTTGTTAATTTTGAGGGTGGGGGGAGGGACATGAAACCACCTTAGCTTAGCTTCCTGTCTGTGAATGTCCATATGGTGTATTGTGTGTTTTAACAAATGATTTACACTGTTGCTGTAAAAGTGAATTTGGAAAATAAAGTTATTACTCTGATTAAATAAGGTCTCCATGTATGGATTCAAAGGACCAGAAAATGATGTATGATTTGCAGGTCCTTTCCCAGCCTTAGAGAACTTAGCTCAGGAAATGACAATATTGTTAAAACCTGGACATCAGGATTTACCAGCTGGGTCTGGGGCCCTGAAGGTGAAAGAGCTCTCAGACTTGTTCATTTTCAGGTGATTCTCTCGTTCTGGTGCTGGCAAACCATCCTGGTCCAACTCAAAGGGCAATACCCTTGTGGGTGAGCTCACAAGGCTGCACTCAGTTTGTAAGACCCAGCCCACTGTATTCAAAGCTGAGAACACTGGGGTGGCTCTAGGAACCCTTTCCACCCCTGGAAATTAGCCTAGGGGCCTGGGGCTGAGGCAGGACACTAGGCCAGTCAGCTGAATGAATGGCTAGATGCCTTGCAGGATTACAGAGCTGCTTTGCTCTCTCCTTTGAGCCTTATTATAGATTGGAGAGTGTTTGCTAGATCAAGATAGGGATACCAGGTAGCCCTTGGCAATGCTACAAAGGAAAACAGAACAGAACCCATCATATTATTGTTCCTTAATAATCAGGTCAAGGTCATAACACTCAGGCCTTTGATTTTTCATACAGCTTCAAAATACTACTTTTCTCAGCTTTTCCTGATGTGCTTTAGCCACTGCAGGCAGAAGCTTAAGTAGAGCAGGTCTTAACTGCAACTACAGAAGCAGCAACAGGGCAGCCAAAGAGAAATGCTACCTCAGAACTCGTAGGTTTCATAGTCAGGAGAGGCAGCTGCATTGGCTGTGTCAACTTGACTGCTATGGAAAAAAAAAAAAAAAAAAAAAAAAGGAAAAAAGGAAGTAAAGAGAGTCGCAGGCCTGCCCACTTATTCATCTTGTACAAAGAACACCAAGCATAGCCTTCTCAGAAGAAAGCTGCTGAGAACCAGCTCAGGTTCCATGCAAAGTATATACATGTCTGCAGTGACCTCAACCCCAGAAAAGGTGGATGATGGAAAGTGAAATATCCATTAAAGAGCAATTTAGAACAGATTAAAAAATGTCCCAATGCTGGCCGGCCTCACTAGAAGAAGGAACATTAAGAGCAGTGGATCAATTACTTACATCCAACAACAAAAAAAGACGATTTACGAAGACGCCCTTCCTCCTGGCGTCTCTCACCCCCGCCCCGGTGAGAACCACTCTCTCTGGTGACCATCAGAGGACCCTGCCCGGTGCCCAGAAGACAGTGGGGACTTCCCAAGGTTCACAGCCAGTCGGAGGACCCAGAGAACAACTGCTCCTCAGGGAGGCTCCTCAGCCACCACCAGTACCATGTCCTGAAACAAGAAGGGCCTGGCATACAACATTCTGTAACTTTTTTTTTATTATTTTTTTCAAATTTTCCTTCCTTTTTTTTTAAGCACTAGTCTGTGCTTTGCGAACAGAATCAAGACATTAACAAAGATCAGCTTCTCTGAAGAAAAGCATTTCTATAGAACAAAGACAGCTACATGTTTCGCTGCCAATACACAGCTCAAAGCAGGAAAAGAAAATATTTACAAAATACAAGGTTTTTTTTGTTCTTTTTCTTTTTTCTTTTTTTTTTTACAATGCTAAAAGGGTTATTCAGAATTTTCAACCTTATAAATAGAAGAAGCACTTTATGCATAGGGATATGGTGCATTATTGTTTTTAAAGAAACAATGACAAACCCTTTAACTTGCAAACAGAATCAAAAAAAAAAATCACTAATGTTGAAAATTGTGAAAAAACCCCAACCATTAAGCAGTTTGTCTACTATTTTTATACGATTACAAAATGGCAAAAAAAAAAAAAAAAAAAAAAGTCCTTATTGCCCCCCTTTTTGGTGATGTGATCATAGATGAGACAGGCACAAGGTTAACCCGGGGGGGTGACGGGGAGTGATAGGAACCACAGCTAGGACCAGACAGTGTTCCACAGGCAAGGGAGCTCGAAAGAGGAAGGACCTGACAGACACTGACAGGGAACTGGACGGGGGTGGGGAAATATGACCAAATGACTCAGTGAAAACAGAATTATACAGGAGAGATGGCTGCTCATTTCCAAGACCCCCTAGAGTCTGCAGGGGAGTGGGAAGAGAGATTAAGTAGTCCTAACCCTACCTCCACAGACCAGGTTAGGGGGGGAAAACGTTCCAAGTGGAAGGACTGTGTGCGTGGGCATGTGAATGGTGTGCGAGAGCAGGTGAGAGGACACGAAGGGGCAGGATGGGGACCTGAACAGCCGCAGCCAGCTTACCTCAGTTAAGAAGTCAGAACAGGGATGACCGAATGCAGAGGAAACCCAGAACAGGTCTCCAAGACCTGGGTGACAAGGGGAAGCCATTCTGTCAGCTGAGAGCTGGGTGAGAACAGCTGGAGTTCAGGCCAAGAGGTTCTGGTGGAGGTGCTCCAGCACAGACGACCAAGGGGACCCAGCCGGGAGGGCCGGAGCTGAGCTAAGCAACAGAAGGGACGGGGTACGAGCCCAGAGCACACTGCTCTCTCCCACCCTAACCTCAGGGGGCAATGCTGAGCTGGAGGTTCCTTTCCCTCTGCCCACCTGGCTGTCCCACCCTGCCCACAGGGGCGCGAGAGGGGTGATCATCCAACATGGCTAAGTCCAGTGATTCAACAGTGCAGAGGATGTGCCAGGACCAGGCCAGCAGGGTCTTATCCTGAACTGTGTGCCAACTGGAGGAAGTGCTCAGGTGTGTGACGATAAACATGGAAACCAAAACATAAACAAAACAAAAATCAAAACAAGAAAGAAATTACCAAAGTAGAATCTAAATTCCTTAAATTCACTAAAAACTGTGAAAATTTTCGGCATATGATGTTTGAATATCAAACGCAGAGTTTTCTGAAGCTTTAATGCCAATAGTGAGTCTGTTTAGATTCTCATATCCCACTCATCTGTGAGTTGGACGCTGAGCTGTGACTGTTGCCGCCAGATGCCGACTCTTGAGGGGAATGATGGGAGGCGAGGTGGGTGCCACCTCTGTCTCCCGGCCAGTCTTGCTGCCTGAGGTGCGCCGAGTGCAGCGGGACGCCCGTTCCTGTGCATCCAGTTGGTCCTCACTCTCTGCCTGGGGACTATACGCCAGGGGGAAGGTTCGCCGCTCCCATGGCTGGACAGACTGCGGGCAGATAAGATGTCTTGGTGAGGACCCAGTCCCAGCCCGCCTCCTTCCCCAGACATGTGGACTGGAGGCCATGACCAGTCTCTCTAGAGTTCCTGGGCTGGCCCAGAGAAAATTATCAGAGTGGGCAACTTTTTAATGATAGCCAGTTCCATGGTACCTTCAGAAAGTCAACTTCAAGTTCAGTCCCCTGTCCCCTTCAAATTGGGGGGGAGGGGAGATCCATAAAATGAAGATACATCTTGAGCAGGTGCTGTCCCCCAACAATCCCATCCGCCACCCCGCTAATCCCACGGAAAGGCAGCGTTCCTCACCTGCTCGTCGAGCCCCAGCTCTGGTGTGGAACAACGGGTGTCTTCACTGGCCAGGTGTCGGAGAGTGTCCCGCGCCACGGGAGTGAGGGGGGCTGAGTGCAGTTCTGGGCTAATGGGGCTCCTGGGGGACTGCCCGTGGGAGAACTCGGACAAAGAGTGGCTACTGCTGACATCAGGGGAGGCGGGTTGAGGGGTGGAGGGGTTGGCACTGCCCAGCTGGGGCGTTGTCCGGCCGTCCGATGACCTGTAAGACCTGTATACCAAGAAGCACGAATCTGAGTGCCTGGGTAATAGGCAATTTCTCATGTGTCTGTGTTTTGGGTTGGGGAGGAGGCATGAAAAAAGCTTCCCGACCAGAGGAGCTGAGGCAGACTGACACCAGCAGTTCTCTCCTAGGAACCACAGACCCCTCACTTTCTTCCACTGCTGTGCACACGGGCAGGCACACAACACGGCATCTAAGAGCTGTGTACGCCTGTCATCCCAGGAAAAGGCCACGGCCGAACAACGCTGGGGGTATCCCTGGCTCAGTGCCCAGTGGATTCACAAGGGAAGGGGAATTAGCCCAGACTTTGAAAACTGCAGGCAAAGTAAAAAGCAAAAACAAGAGCCCTAAATATTTCTACTTGAGAATCCTGAGGGCTTCTCACTGTAACACTAAAGGGAGAGAGGGTAGGACAGTTCTTCCAAGTAAAGCAAGACCACAACAATCAAACTCCACTGTTCAAAGGAGGTTAACTTGTGGCGAGGCCTCCAAAGCTCCTCTAATCCAGTCACCACAACCCTAACCAGCCTCCCAAATGCCATGACAGCCTCCTCCTGGACCCCGGGAGACCACGGAGCTCGTCAGAACTGGACAGTCACCGCTCAGCAAGGTCCAGCATTTGACTGCTTACACCCTCATTAGTCCCAACGAACACCACAGAACGTCTGCATTCTCAGCCATCGACAGGGAATGAATATGAAGAACAACTAAATGGCAACTCCATGGACACAGCCAGGGTCCCAACTCCCCGTTGACCCTCCCTGCACAGGCCCTGGAGGCCTGTGCCTGCTCCATCACCTGCTGCCCCGCCGCTGAGGTGGCACACTCGTGGTCCACAGCCACCGAGCCCTCTCCATCTCCTCACATTTGGCATGCAGGGCGGCGAAGGCTGCGTCAGACAGGTCCTCTATCTGCAAAAGAGCATCTTCATCGATCCCCCCTTTCCTCCAGGAAGTCAAGTTTCAGTGCGTAGACCAATTCTAGAAGCAGCCCCACCCCACACTAGGCTCTTCCTGGTCAGGACAGGAATACAATGAGCTTGCACTTGACACCCACAGGTCTTGAGGCATCTGCAGTGTGTGCACCCACGAGTTCATGTGTTCTTCTAAGAGCGAACGCCCATGCCATTACCTCCTCATTCTCCTCGTCAGGACTCCCCTTCAGAGACCGAAGATCAACCTCCCGCCAGCTGCAAAACCAGGAAGGAACAATTGTGAGACGGCAGGCAGTCTGGGCAGGATAAGTACATCCGTGCAGGAACGAGAGCTCTCCACCTGCAAGTGACACTGCTCTCTGCTGGGCCTGCTTAGCCCTGGGGCCTCTCTACGAGGTCCCACACTCAAATGCGCACAAGGGGCAGAAAGAGGGGAAGCAGGCTGAGGGTGGGACTAGAGCTGGTAGATGGACAAACTCAAGCAAAAGAACCTGTTTAGAGGGGACCAGCAGTACCCAGCAGCAGCTGATTGCTGCCACACGGGAGTGCACATACAGGGTTGCCCAATCTTTTGATGTGTCAACAAAAGCTGGAAATAAACATTCATATGTGAAATCCTGCTTTGATGCTAACAACAAATTCAGTATTTTAAAACATATTTGTATGCATCAAACAAAACATGGCTATAGCCAGTTTGTGGCCTGTGGTCTGGTTGGTGCTCATATAATGGAAGAAAATTATGTAAAGAAATAATTTCACTCTGATCAGGTAGACCTTCTCTTAAAGAGAAGACAACAGCCAAGGCTAGGCCCCAAAGCTCAGTGACCAGAGGAGAGGGAAAAGGGCAACGACAGCAAGACCAGCAAGAAGAGCGCATCACCCAGGGCCTCTTACCTGGGAGTAAGGATCTCCTTGTACTGTAGCTTCTCTACACGGGTGGTTGCAGCGACTGACATTGGGATGACAATGTTGTTAATATCGAAGGAGCTCTCTCCCCTTCTCCTCCTTACTGGCTGCTGTAAGACAAAGGCAAGTTTAAGAGGGAGGAACAATTCTACGTACCTCAAATTATACATCTGAGATTTAAAACAGGATCAGCAATAACCAGGAATCTGGGTCTTTGGGTAGGGCCCAGGCAGGGATGGCAGAGCTGCTTGCACCTAGGAGACAGTCCCCCAACAGCAAAGCGCACAGGGGAAATACTAAGCGGTCCTGAGGAGTATCTTCCGTCCACAAGTCTCACTTGCACCCTCTTTCTTCATGGGCTCACGTGAAAAGAGACTTCTGTTGAAGCTTACAGGGGTGGGTATCCCGGGGCCTTGAGTCAATTGCCACGGTTTCTACTCCTCTACGCACAGCCTTACTAACAACCCCAACTAAATCTTCCTTTCTGCTTCCCCTTTTATCTCTGTCTATGACACAGACCCATGGGGGATCCTAAAAGCAATGCTTCAGCCTGGTGGTGATTCTTCGGGTTAAAAAGATGAATTCCCCTACCCTGAAAGATGCCCAAAGGACAGGCCCAGCTCAATGGATCATCTAACCTTGGTTGTCATGGAAGCACCTCCTTCTCGTAGATCTGAACTCTTCAGCTAAATCTGTACCAACCATCTGCTCAGCCCTTATGTGATTTCCCCTTCTGGCTATTATTCTGAGGGAAAGAGCTAAGAGCGTTCTAGCTATATCAACAGAGATGAGTGGAGGGAAGCCTTGGCTGTACAGCTCACACTCCTGGAGAAAGGAAATTCATTCCTATAGGAAGTTAAGATCAAACCCTTGGGAAAGAAGACTAACAAGGATCCAATATCAGAGGCGGCGGCGGGTATCTGCAGCAAGCGGGAGATCGACGGAGGAATAAAGCAGGGAGCCAAAGGGCATGGCTTCTTAGATGGAGGGGCATGTCCACGAGCTGCCTGTGCCCAGATAGCAAACACCCTGCCCTGAAACAGAGAGACCGGCGATTGAGCCGTGAGAGCCCAGAGTGAAACAGTGGGATGACAAACATGCTGCCATGGTGACAATACAGCTGCAGACAACTAAGAGGCTACATTCAAACCCAAACCACCAAGTGTGGCCAGCCCAGAGTGAAGGAAGATGGGGAAGAGGTTGTTCCCTACAGCTGACCTCTCTACTCTCTGTTCCCAGAGGGGGATCTATGACTGATTCATCGTATCATTTCAGGACCTTCTCAGAAAATGTTGAAAGGCAATGTTTCCTGGGCCAGGATTTTAGCTGCTGTCACCTACGATTTCAGGTTATTACAATGTCTTTTTCATCCCAGTCTTCTCCTCTGTCTAAGAATAGACTGTCACTGACTTCACAAATTTAGGGTAACTGGTTAACCAAAATGGCTGAAGAGACTTTTGCAAGTCTTGCCTGGCTGAGGATTAGTGACCTCACACCCAAAGGCTTCTGCCACATCTCTGCTGAACTTACACACCCCACTACAAGAAGTGTACCTTAAGAAAGCCTCAAGAGATAGCTTTCCCTATATCTTGGTCAAGAATGAATGTGAGGGCTTCCCTGGTGGCGCAGTGGTTGAGTGTCCGCCTGCCGATGCAGGGGACGCGGGTTCGTGTCCCGGTCCGGGAAGATCCCACATGCCGCGGAGCGGCTGGGCCCGTGAGCCATGGCCGCTGAGCCTGCGCGTCCGGAGCCTGTGCTCCGCAACGGGAGAGGCCACGACAGTGAGAGGCCCGCGTACGACAAAAAAAAAAAAAAAAAAAAAAAAGAATGAATGTGAAACTGCTGGCAGAAACAGGAATGTACTTTCCCTGAACCTCCTTGGGCCTGCTGTTAGTGTCTTCAAGGCAAAGGGACAGGAGCGGGTTGTGGGGTTCAGCAGGCTCCAGCTCCCACCCTACATTTAGATTTCCCAATTCCATGAGGCACTCATTTGATCTAACTTAACTACTTTCTCCTGTTTGGAACGAGGTGGAGGGCAGGTGATGGGAATGGAAAGTGGTTCCCACACCTGGCTGCACATCAGACATACGATGAGGAGTATATTTGAAAAAGAAGAAACAGGTTCAGGGCCCCCTCTCTTCTTAACTACCAAATCAGAATATCCAGGGCTTCCAAGAAAGAAAAGAAAAAAGGCCATGGAGGCGATTCTGGTGCGTCTATCAGCTCTTGTGGCTTTCTGTGGGAGCACTACCACATACACCCCATCCCTCTCCTCCCCCACCATTTCTCCAGTGTCTTGTAGCTTCTCTACCTTATTTTAACTACCTGGCCTATCACTCTTCTTGCTATTATATAAATCCAGATTCTCTGAAAAAATCTAGCAGCAAGAGCCTTAAGGGTCAGCACAGTGCTATATACAAAATTTGTACTCATTAGACAATAAGTAAAAATTTCAAGTGATCCAGGCCTAAGTTTACATTCTCCAGGCACAAGAGGGCGGCAGGTGAAAAAATACTGACGTCTCACCAAGTCTCAGAGAAGACTTCTATTAGAATTCGCCTCTTTAAAATAGTTTGGTTTTTCTGAGACCGCCTACTAATGGACAACTGATTTAGTGATAGATACTACACCACCTATGGAAATCTGTGGGTGGGGAGGGGAGGAACAAGGAGGTCATTTGGAAAAGACTCTGATTTTTTTTTTTTTTTTTCGGTACGCAGGCCTCTCACTGTTGTGGCCTCTCCCGTTGCGGAGCACAGGCTCCAGACACGCAGGCTCAGCAGCCATGGCTCATGAGCCTAGCTGCTCCGCGGCATGTGGGACCTTCCCGTACTGGGGCACGAACCCGTGTCCCCTGCATCGGCAGGCGGACGCTCAACCACTGCGCCACCAGGGAAGCCCAAGACTCTGATTTTTAAGAGTAAAGACAGACAATGTGAAGAATTCCTACCTGATCACAGCTCAGTGAGCACATTTTGTGGGCTTAGAAGTGATATAAGCTCTGAAGGGGCTTCAAAGCACCTGTATAAGTCACCTCTGTAATGCCCCAACCTAGGCTCACTTTGTGCAGCGTGATGGTAAGAGAACTGGCTCTGCAGTCAGACTGCCTGGGTCTGAATCACAATTACACCCTCACAAGTCACCCCACTTTATGCAGCTTACTTAACCTTGGAAAGACTCAGTTTCCCTGCCAACAAAACGGGAATCTTTTATACCACCTACGCCTCAAAGGGCATTCATTAAAGGATTGAATGAGGTAACACACATAATGCACTCAGTGCTGACACAACAAACATTACAGTTGTATTGTTTTATTTTTTACCATCTCCATTATTATTATCATTACTATATAAAGGACCCTTTTAGTGGGCACAAAGCAGCTACAGGTATATGTGTTCAAGGAGGCACACACTGAGTAATTAAAACACTAGAATGATATTAATGTCTGGAATGGCCATGCAAACAGCTTTCGGGGTGGAGTGTGGTACCGCAAAAGCGGATCAGGGGCCAAAGAGCCTGCCGTTATGAGCGTACTACATGTCAGTACTGCCAGCGTGGCCTGCTGGATCTGTAATTCTGCTCTGTACACGTAAAAAACATGGGCTCTATGTCCCGCTTCCCTTGCAAGCACCCTAACACACCCAGTGTTTATTCTCAGCACTCCAGCTCCACTCCCCAGGAGAGTAAAAACAAGGAAATAAAACGTCTCCAATGCCCACAGGCATCTCTCTTTTATCCCTCCTCTCATGTTTACTTAGCCCAACAGAGTTAGAGTCATGATACTGTTGAGTTCTGTGTGAAACTTAGTCCCACGCATCCTGAATAGTCATAGATCACCCAAGAGTTTGTCTCTGCATCAAGCTTTCTATGGCTGGCTCAGCTCAGATCCATGTCTACTGTGAAAAACAACTCAAGGAAAACAATGTAACGGAGGATCAAATAAATAGCACCACTTTGACTTGAAAAAGACAAATACGCCAAGATGAGTCGAGTCCCCATAACTGCCCTGGCCCTTACAACCCTCTCTCTACACTGTCCTCCAGACCCACTGGAACGAGCTGTCACTGCAGAGGGGCTGTCCAACTCCACGCAGGTACTTACAGACGTGCTGGCTGTAACCTGTGGACTAGAGCTGGTGGGTGCAGAGGTGTCTGATGACGCGGAGAGCTGTCGCACCAAGGGACTGTGTGGTGGGTGGTGGGTGGCCGCCAAGTAGCTCGAACTGCTCAGGTCCGTGTGATGCTTCAACACTGCAGAAGTCAACAGAAAAGAGGAAGACGTGGCTACCTCAACCTGCTCTACTTCCAGCACAAGCCAGGAATGCCAGCAATATGCAGTAAAGGCAAAAATGCTTTCTAAGCCTAAAGGATAAAAAGATGAAGCAAACTGGTTGACGGGAGGTAGGGATGGAGCAGAGGTTGCTACAGAGTAAGAAGTGACCTACACTTAGAAGCAGTAGGGCCCCTCTACTCTGCCTTCCTAGAAAGTGAAGGACAAAGCTAAGGGCAATTATAAGAAGCCCAGGCTGCCCCAGAAAGCCCTGAGCAGGTGCAAACGAAGGCAGAGGTGCCGGGCCTGGCCCTACCTTCACTTCTCTCGGATGAATGGTCTCGCAATCTCATTTTGCTGTGGTTTGGGTCATGCACGGGTGGCGGCGGGTTGAGCGAGCGCTCTGCTTTGGGCGCTGTCACTCGCTCCACCATAGGCACGGCCCCCACATCGTCTAAGTGCTGCCTGTGGGTCCTGTCAGGCCGGGTTTGGTGATGGGACAGCTCTGAAGAGGGGAACAGAAAAAGAGCTGTGAAACACCTCCTCTCAATCTTTTCTTATTTGAGTTCCGAGCTCTTGAGTTCTCTCTAGGTCAGTGATAGACACCCAGGGCAGCAGGACAGTCCTCTGGGACTGACGCTTCTGGCAAATAACACACTGGCCAAAACAGGCCAGGAAGCCCACAGGGCTCTCAACCAGAAAAAAGTGACACCAGACTACAGAAGACAGCCTGCCCACAGATGGACCCAATGCCATGGAACAGGTGGCTGTTCACTGAGCCCCAAGATACATGGTGTCTGGAAGAGCTTTCACAGTCCATCCGAGAGCATCTAAGACAAGTAGGAAAAGACGACTGTGAGCTGAATTTACATCAGTCAACTGCTTCTCCCAACCCCGACACAGTGCCATAGCCATACCAGTAACCTAAGAACATAAAAGGAATAGGAAAGTAATTGGAGGACTCTCTGGACCCCTGAAACTTACTGGCTGTTGTCAGGAAGGAGTTGACCAACTTGTGCCTGTCTTTACGAGTTGGATCAGGGAGACTGCCTGGCATGGGTGCTCTGTGCTTAAGTGAAAACTTTTTTGGAGGTTTGATTTTGTCAAAAGGTTTGTTCTGCCATTGAGATTTCAGCATGCTCTGGAAGTGCAGGCTTGTGGGAACATCTGCAAGAAACACAAAACACTGCGGTTTTAGTCCAGACACCTGGGCTCTGGGCTCTTCTCTCACAAAGTGAGGCGTGTTCACAGCAACTCTAGGTCACCGGTGAGCAACACCCACACTGCACCCTTCTTTTATTTACCCAGTGGCAGGATGACCCAAGCAGGGCAAGCACTGTCAAGTGGAAGATCTGTTTATTGGAACTTTACTGAAGGTCATTCTTTTATTCACAGACAAGTCACTATTGCCTTTTATTTGCAAGTTCCAAACAAAAAAATCTAAAACACCTTTTGTTAGATTGATGAACTTTTCTTTGTTCCTGTGTTCCACCAAGTCTGTTAATTTTACTGGTTTGAAAGATTGATAAACATCCTGTTCTTATTCTTGTAGAAACTGAAATATTTCGACCTACTTCTTTCTATCAACATAAAGTTAATCAGGATATATTCATTCAACAACTACTTACCGTCTATTATTTTATCAGACACTGTACTGGGTACTACATCTTCCCCTAAATAAGAACTATACTATTCTCCCCCCTCCTTCCTCCAGACCCTCACCACCTCCCACCTGGGGATTACCTAGGTTTTTAAGTGGATTAGTTAATATTCAATATCGTAAATTAATCTTTTAGACTTAATTATAATTTTTTAACCTTCTTTGGGGGTTCACCACTGTTTCTTGCATCTTTCCATTTTGTTAGTTTCCTCTTTTATTTTCCTAAGAATGTGGCCTTGAGTAATTTCTTTAGAAATAGTATTTCTAGATTAAAACCAGTTTTCTCTCAGACTTTAAAGCTATTACTACAGTGTCACCAATAAGATGGAATCTGACTCATTCACTTGTAGGTGCTCTGTTTCTTCCTTTAAACTTTTTTTGGGGGACAAAGCTTGTTGCGGCACTCTATAGGTCCATTTGGGGAGAACTCTAATACCGAGCCCTTCAATCAGTGAACGTGGCGCACCTCTCCACTTCTTTAGGATTTCCTTAGTTTTCGCTCGTCCGCGTTAGGTAGTTTTTGTGCAGCTCTGTAAAAGGTGACTTATTGTAATCGCTTATTTAGCTAGCTGCACCAGGTCTCTTAGTTGCAGCACGCGGGGTCCAGTTCCCTGACCGAGGATCAAACCTGAGCCCTGCATTGGGAGCGTGGAGTCTTAACCTAGACCACCAAGGAAGTCCCCATTGTACAGTTCTTATACATATTTTGTTAATTTGATATTTTTGATGACATTATACATGATAGCACTTTTAAAAATTTCAATTTATAATTGTTTACTGCTAGTACGTAGAAATACAGTAATTTTTAATATAGTGACCTATATCCTGTGATCTTGCTAAATCCATTATGAAGTTTTTGTTTGCTGTTGTGTTGTCCCTAGAATTTTCTACATACACAAGTATGTCACTTACAAAAAGCTGTTTTACTTTCTAATTTGTATGCCTTTTATTTCTATTTCTTGTCCTATTATTCTGGGTAGAACCTCTAGTGGCAATCTGAAACTTACATTTTTCCTTTTTATAGTCTCATTCTGAAACTTCACCACCATGGATATAGGTGTGGGTCTTTTTTCAGGGTTCTGAAAAACTTTCCATGGTCCTTTTTAATCTGAAGACCAGAACATCTCTCTTTAGCTCCCAGTTCCTCCTGGGAATCATTAACTACCTGGGACATAGTCAAAGTCCAAGCCCCTGGGACTTCCCTGGTGGCACAGTGGTTAAGAATCCGCCTGCCAATGCAAGCGGCGTGGATTCGAGCCCTGGTCCGGGAAGATCTCACATGCCATGGAGCAACTAAGCCCGTGTGCCACAACTACTGAGCCCACATGCCACAACTACTGAAGCCCACATGTCTAGAGCCCGTGCTCTGCAACAAGAGAAGCCACCACAATTAGAAACACTTGCACCACAACAAAGAGCAGCCCCTGCTCGCTGCAACTAGAGGAAGCCCAGGCACAGCAACGAAGACCCAATGCAGCCAAAACTAACATAAATAAAACAAATTTAAAAAAAAAAAAGGTCCCAGCCCCTGAGTTCATACCCGCTGCTGTAGCAAAGAATGAAACACCACCGCTTTATGGAAAAGGGGAAAAATCCAACCTAGCTATATTCCAAAACAAGTCCAAACTTATCACCCAGGCAAATGCCCAGGTCCCATCCTTAGTTCTGTGTCCTTTTTCACTGTGGGCAAAGAACCTTCCCCTACCAGCTCCTACCCCATAGGAGTTTACTCAAAAGCATGTGCTTTGGGCTCCCCTTTTTTCTAGTTTTATTTCTTCACAGTTATCCTGTTTGTTTTCCAGCTTTCAAAAATCACTCCAAACTCTATTCACCAATGGCATGCCTTCTTTTTTTCAGAATTGTTAGAGGTTTATTTAGTGTATTTTCTAAACATTATTGGGGTTTTGGTGCCCAGGGAGGATAGCTTAATCTGATGTGCTTAATCTGAGCTAGGAATGGGGGGCAAAGAAGAGGGGAATAAATGAACATTTACTAAACCCATTATACTGTGGCTGGCACTTAATCTTCGTAACAATTCCATGATGTAAACATTACTATGCTCCCTTTAAAGCGAAAAAACAGATCCAGAAAGGTGAATTAACTGTCAAGGTTACACAGTTTAGTAAGTAACAAGCAACATTCAAACTCAGGTCTGTAAAATCCTAAAACCTATATTCTTAGCCACTACACCATGAAATTATTCTTTGGCCCAGAGAATGGAGCAGTTTAATCCTGGGGTGAAATCTGATATTTCTCAAATTATTCCCAAGGAACTGTAGAGTACAGGATATTTTTCAAAAGAGTTCTGCAGTGTAAAAAAGAAACTCCTTCCTATAGCATAGACCATGTATTTCATGACACTTCAAAGAACAAGATACATCTCTGGGAACAGTGCTATCTCCTGAAATTTTTTCCCATAATCATTCTTTCTCTTCTACACTTAAAAACAAATTCACCTATCCCAAACCTTAACACAAATATATCAGCTTTCAGCCAGGCCAACGATATCAGAGCTCATTGTACTCCCAGTCCTTAGATCCCACCCAAGGCCCTCAATAAAATGGTTTGATTTTCCCACCCCCCAAAGGTCAAATGTTAAAAAAAAAAAAAAGATTTCCCAACTAAGAATTAAGTTTAGAGGTATTAGTAGTAAAAATTCCTTGCTCTAACTCAGAGTGGTTGGGGAAAAGTATATAGGAAATAAAGCATCGTCTAGAGGAATTCTGAAAGCTGGGCTGAGCTTGAAGGTATAAAGAAGGCTCAAGAAGTGGTAGAGCACCTCCTCTATATCCCAGGATACCCCTTGGTCAGCAGGAGAGTTATTCCCCCTTGGCAAAGGTTGGTTTTTTTTGTTTTTTTTTTTGCCATGCCACGCAGCATGCAGAATCTTCCCTGAGCAGGGATCGATCCCCCTGCATTGGGAGTATGGAGTCTTAACTACTGGACTGCCAAGGAACCCTGCAAAGGCTGTTTAATGGGACTACAAAAGCATAGTAGTTTCACTGTCTTTTCCTTTTATTTTCCACAGTCACTGTGCTCCCAAACCTGAAAATTAAGCCAGGGAGAAAAGGAAACAGGATATGGTTATGGTGGAAATTAGTAGTCCTAGACACGGGTCCTCGTCCCATCACTGAGTAGGAGAAAACAAGAACAAATCACTTAGCTGGGCTTTAGCTTCTTCATCTGTAAAATGAGGCAGCAAGACTTGATCAGAGCTGGTAACATCCTAGCACACATGCTCTAGCTCTCTCCTCTTCTGTCTGCTGCAGGCACAGGCTACTCGCAACATTCTTTCTGTTGTACCCCAAGACCTTAGACCCATCTCAAATAATTAACTAGTTAATTAAATCCATACAGACAACATCAATCAATTCGAGTTAAGCACGAGAGAAAAGACATTTATATGTTATTGCTAGACCAGATGACTACTGATCTCTCAACTCTAACATGTTAAATCAATGAGTCTTCAACTAAAACTCCACTCTTAATCCCCTCCCCTCATTTAAATGCTCTGAAGCGGAAGCTGGCACAGTGTAGACCACTACTGCCTTGTGCTCTGGAGCTGAGGTACTAAGCAGAACCAAGAGCAATTTCCCCTATGAGCCCATTGAGTAAGCAGTTAGGGATAATAACAAACTGTTTAAGGGACTCAGGCTGCTAGAAGTTTGCTGTGTTTTAACTGCTTTTATATGAGTAAAGAGAAACTCAAGTTAAACCCCCCAGTCAGTGAACAAAAATGATCTCTTAGGAATTGCTGGTCTGAGTTCCTGTTCTGAGTAATAACACCTGGGATCTACAGAGCTACAACTCTGAAACAGATTGGATATAGAGGACCTGAAAGTAAGCAAAGAGTTGTAAAAATGGAAGAGAACACAGTAGGGACCCATTCAGCTAGAGGACTCCACACACTGCATGCCTGCATAGGTAATGGCTATTAAAGTATATTATCAAACAGGAAGGTGCAGATCCTTGAAATGCAGATCAATGACAGGAAACATCATCTTAGGTTACTATTTCCTCAAACAAAATGAAAAGACTTTAACTTCAGGTCCACCAGGGTCTGACACTCCAAGATTAACCTGTTTTACTCATTACTTTCCACCATTTTCTCAAGAACACTTTCTTGTGGTGTTTTGTAATGCTCACTTCCTCCTCCTGCTGGTAAGGTGCAGTGGCCTCATGTATACAGCTAATTGTCTTGGCAAGCTCTCTCAAAAGAGCATTGATCTTCACAGCCAGCAGGTGGTGCTCTTATTAAGCACAAACCTAAATCTAAACATTCTTTTCCCCAAGGTTATATACATCCTCTACATTTCAAGCTAAGGATTAACTGGCTTGATTAAGTGAGGTAATAAGGAAACAAGCTCCTCTTTCTGGAGTACTAAAGGGTTATCACACCCTAATGTCTCCACCTTCCAGTCAGGCAGCAGTTCCTCAAATTAATGGTAGCGGCTGAGGTGTGGCAAGATGGAAGATAGAACTCTAAGATTAAGAGCTGCAGTTGGTTCCCATCCTCACAAAGTACACAAACTGGTTAGGAAACATTAGTAAAACTCTACACGAAAATGAAAAGTTGGAAGTCCCGCCGTCTTTAAATACAGTCTAGGGAAGAGGCTGCAAAGGGGTGGCGCAGAAGTCAGGTGTGGAGCACGTCTGACCCACACAGGGTGCTGGCTGCTAGTCTTCACCATTACTCACTATTCTACACAGAGATATTTGGGGCATCTCAATACTTTAGGAGGTGCTATTCCCATCTTTGTGGCCCTGGGAATCTTCCAGTTTACAAATAGATAGCATTCTGAATGTGGCAGTTGTCTGGATCAAGTCAAAATTATCCCGATAGTCACAATATTAGATACACTAATTAGGTCCCCGAATCAACCCACAGAAAGTCTAATTTATCCATAGGCAGATATGTTAATCATTCTACTTGGTATATATACTATTCCCCTGTACAGTCTCATAAGTAGAGTTTAATGACCAACTCGCTTGTCCAAACCCCAATGTCATGGTTAGGAGCGGTGTGTGTGTGTGTGTGTCTGTGCGTGTGTGTGTGTGTGTGTCAGAGAGAGGGGAGAGAAGGGGGAAAGGCAGGAGGGGGAAAAAGTGGTGGGGGAGACAGGACACAGAGAAACGGCAGGCAGGAAAATGAAGACCACAGAGACCATAGAAAGGGGTCTCCTTCCTTTCCCCCTCATTTGCTACCTATAGTTGCTTGGAATGGAATGGAGTGGGGAAGTGTAAGGGCAGCAGTCAGATTTATAGATACGATGCAGTCAGAAGAACAGAAAGTGTTAATAGGGAATGGGTACCTCCTAGTAGAGATGCTGAATGATGGAACAGGAGACGCCAGGCAAGTGTTTCGGGCATATCTGATCAGGGGATGGGAGACAGAATTCACAACTATACATGGTAATACTGCTGACAAAGGAATGATCAACATATTTATCAACTGATATTCAATGAGTATGGAAGAGACCTTATCAGAATCGGATATAACTATAGGCTTCAGCCTTCTTTATTCAAATATGAGACCATACAATTCAATATTGTAATCCTGAGAGAGTAACTCAAGAAATGTTCCCAAATCATCCTGGTGTCTCTGTCTGTAGCTACAGTCTGGAAACAGGTAGAAACCTGACTTCTCTTAATATCCTGGCTGGGGAGAAACATGAACTATAGTGAAAAGAAGGACAGGTATCAGATGACCTCGGTTTGAATTCTGGAGCCTTCTACATTAGCTATGTAGCCTGAGATAAACCACAACCTCTCTAAGCCTATTTCTTGATCTGTAAAACTGAAGTAAATTTTTAAGAGTACTGAGAGAAGCAAATGAAACAAGTATAAGAAAAGTGCTTGTAAACTATAAAACACTATATAAATATTATCTTAAGTTATGTAAGTTATAATCCAAATGGCAAGAAAGGGTAAATGTCAATGACTCTGGAATCTGAAGTACAGAGAAGGATGTTGTAGTGTTTTCTACTCATCATGTTCTAAAGTTTATTTACTGCTCCACTACTCCTGACCTAAACCCCTGCCTAGCTTGCTATCCCTATGTTTCAAGTTCTCTAAATATTTCCACTCTTACTAGAAGTCATGTAGCAGCAAGAATATTATACCATGCCTTTCTTACAGTTGAAGGGAGTCATGATAGTAAGGCTTGGAGTAGCTCAACAGATGTAGGTGACCAAGAAAGAATCCAGTCATTTGAAGAACAGATAAGGAATGAGGGGATTACAGTCATCTAATGTTTGATCAATTAGAAGATGGGATTCTCCAGGATAGTTTATCAGTAATGACTGTTTGTATAAATAAAGTTTTATTGAAACAGCCACACCCACTTGCTTATACATGGTCTACGACTGCTTTTGTGCTATATGGGCAGAGTTGCCTAGTTATAACATAGACTAAACCTAGCCAGTATGATCCATAAAGCCTAAATTATTTAGTATCTGCCCTTTTATGAAAAAGATAATATACTACTGATGCTAGAAAAAACTTGGGTTTTCTTCTCATGCCAATAAGTAAATCTTACATCCCATATAATTCACATTCCCCAGACTCCTGTTTTAGTTATCCTCCTTTCAAAAACTTGTACAGACTATCTGTAAGGTGCTATGAAGGATAGAGCAGGAAGAAAAACATGGTCCCTTATCCCGAGAGAACTTAAAATTTAACTAATGGAAAATAAGGTCATAAACAGCCATCATATAAGCCATAACACATAGATAAAATAACACAGTGATCCAAGAGGGGCCAGATCATGAGATTATTTGCAAATCAGTGAAACAAATCCAGATTATGAAAACACTGGCTTCCTGTAGTCTACAGAACAGTTTTCAACATTTTTGCTCATGTACCCCCACCATTTGAAATGTAATTTTTTATTTTTTAAATTTTAAAATTTTTTTGGCCACACCGCGAGGCTTGTGGGATCTCAGTTCCCCGACCACGAACTGAACCCAGGCCCTGAGCAGTGAAAGCATGGAGTCCTAACCACTGGACCGCCGGAGAATTCCGAAATACAGTTTTTAAGAAAATCATAAACTCAGACAGTTGTAAAGGCTGTATTTTCTAGAATACTACATGCATTAAAGATATTTATTTATACCAACACCTCAGCATGTACATATATAATATTTACCTTAACTAAAAAAAATCTTTTACACCTACTTATTCAATCAGACTACAGTCACAGTAAAATCTAATTTCAGTTGTTAATTCTTTCTCTTTTTAAAACTTAAATACTGTACAGTTGACGTGCAATATGTTAGTTTCAGGTGTAAGTTATTAATTCTCTAAATATTTATTTTAAGGTGACAGAAAAGGCAGAGAATCTTGCCTTAAGTTATATACAAAAAAATAATGTACCTCCATCTTCATTATTTTTTATTCAAAACTTTTTTTACTTAATTCCCACAGGATTCTTCTTCAGGAGCCATGAACTCTGAAAATGGTTCCTTTGGTGTCCCTACTGCCCAAGGTTTTTATACTCTGGGGGGCAAGACCCACAGCAAGACTCAATATGGGTAAGAGGAATGACTTTCACGTAGTGGGAGAAAAGCAATTATGAAAAGGGAGGTGGAAAAGGAAAATTGGCAGACACGGAGGCTTATCAGGTAGATCAACTTAGCAGCGCTGCCCATGCTGTTTTACATCATGGCACACATAGATAATACATTTTTTAAGACAGACTCTGTATAACAAGACCAGGCTCCAAGCGTTGTGGCTGGAGGAAACTGTCCTAGCCTCACCATTTGAAGTGTTAGGGGAATTTCTCTCTTAGCAAGCTGCAAAGTTTTAGTGGCACATTCCAGTCTGGGAGATCTATTTGCAAAATTCTAAGAGAAGACTTTATTGACAGCAATACCTTGACAGTACCTGGGAGTTGTACCAGAATCTTGGCCGACTTTCTTTCACTTTGAACCCTTTAAGTCTCACGTATTAGACTTTATATTATGTAGACTTTCTTACCATCTGGAAATGCTAGAACCGGGTGAACACAAGAATCCAACTGGGAAAGGCGTTCCAACAGAGGGGCTTCATAGTGGATTTCTGGAGGCGTGGTGCTGGCACTGCCTGAGCCACACAGTGCACAGGAGGGGTTCACATCACAGCCAGAGCGCACTGTGCTGTTCCGGTGAACCTGTGAAAAGTCAGACAAAACTGACAACTCAGTGTCTGATAAAAACCCAGCTCCCCATTCAGTATCCCAAAGATTCAAAAGGCCCTCTCTAGGGACTTCCTTGGCAGTCCAGTGGTCAAGACTCCGCACTTCCAATGAAGGGGGGCACGGGTCCGATCCCTGGTCGGGGAACTAAGGTCCTGCATGCCGCGCAGTGCGGCCGGAAACAAACAAAAAATCATTATGATGTACACCTGAAACTATATAATGTTATATGTCCATTATACCTCAATAAAATAAGAAATAAAATAAAAGTGACCTGCAAGCTAAAAAAAAAAAAAGGCCCTCTCTAGATACATATATGACACCAAACAAAAAGTCTGACCAGTTTGTTAAAAGATTTCCATTTCTCCAACACATTAACCTTCAAAGTAATTAAGTAAACCTGCTTCTTCTCCAATGAAGACATCAAGTTATGTGAAGCCCTTAGGTCCTTACCAAGAACACTTTACAAAGCCTGTATGTTTCTACCACCTTGATGGTTTCCCACCATCTGCTAAGGTGAATAGCTGGCTCCAGATTTCTGGCTGGAACATGACTTTGCCCTCTTCAGCAACTTCATCCACCTAAGAGCCATACTAATGAATAACAAACCATACCTCTCCTGTTCTTTTCACATCTCCTGCTATAAAAAGACTTCCAGGTGGCCTGAAACGACACGGCAAATTTCCGTGGACTACACAGAACTCATTAGCTACTCTTTAACCTAGCCTAAAAATCTACTGTTATAAAGCTCATACTTAAGTAATGAAAATGAATTTGGGATGGTGAGTGTTCATACCCACAGTCTTTGTGTTAGATTAACTCCAATGGGATAGAAATCATTTTCATTAAACGTCCTTTGTATACATGTTAGCAGGATAAGAAATACCTCTCCAGCTAAGTCCACAGTCAAAAATAATCACAGTTGGGCTTCCTCAGTGGCGCAGTGGTTGAGAGTCTGCCTGCCGATGCAGGGGACACGGGTTCGTGCCCCGGTCCGGGAGGATCCCACATGCCGCGGAGCGGCTGGGCCTGTGAGCCACGGCTGCTGAGCCTGCGCATCCGGAGCCTGTGCTCCACGACGGGAGAGGCCACAAGAGTGAGAGGCCCACGTACCGCAGAAAATAAATCACAATCAAAAATAATCTAAGTCTTCAAAAGATTTAATTCTGTTAAAAACAAAATGGGATTTTTATGATTTTGTGCTTTGAGGAGAAAACTTCAGGTCATGCTGAATGCAGGATCCCTAGGTTCTTGTGTTAGGATGAACAAGTCTGGCATTTGCCAAATCATGACCACAAAAAAGTCATCTGGGTAGCATGCAGTCCTAGAAGAAGGGACTTGTCTGTGGAATGACACTATGACAAGGGATGCTAGGAGCAAAGGTAGTATCATAATAAAGACAAAAGGGTAGCATCAAAACTCTGTAACAACTGTGAGAGGCGCATTTAGTTTCAGCACACCCAACTCTTGAAAGCTGTTTGCCTTCACAGACACGCACAGAAGAAAGATAAATATGAGAACAATGCAGTCTTTATCAACATTGCCCAACTGCCTCCTTCTTGCAGCGACATAGATGGGTGGCATTCAAAGAAGGCCCTGTGAAGGTTAGACTGGGCAACTTACGCTAAAGTAAAAGTATTCTAATAAGCTGCAATTGTAGATGCCTTTGAAAGGAAATTATACCAACTAAACACACACTTCTGTAGACATTAACTGGTACTGTTTTGGGAAAAAATACCTCTTGCAACCTATTTAACCAGGGCTGGCTTTCTGGGGGAGGTAACATTTTGAGGCAGAGAGAGAGAGGGGCCTACGTTGGCAGGGACAAAGACCACAGACTGCACAGGAGATGAATGGGAGGGTTTAGGTAATCAGAATCCAAAAATGGCACCAAAACTTTAAACACTGACAAGATTAGAAAAACATATAAAAATCAGAATAAGAAATCTTAAAAGGGAGGTATATTTTCTCCTCATAAATTAACCCATGACATCAATCAGCTCTCCAAGTGGGCAATGCACAGCATTCCATTTTATAGACTGGATGTAGAGTAAAAACGATATGGCAAGAGGAACAAACTAGGAGAAAGATTAAATAAAAACTGAAATTACCAAAAGAAAAAATACATGCTAGAAACAGCAAATTTAAGAACTGCTCTTTGGGAGTTTTTTCTCCCCCTCTTCCCAAACCCACCTCAAGAATGGCTTAGATAGGAACAGAGCAATTAATTAGATAAACTGTAAGACTGGCCTAATAAAGAGAAAAAAGGAAAAAATGCAAACATATAAGAACTCCTCAAAAAAGCACTAGTTAATTGATAAACTGGATACAAGATACAATAGTGTAGACACATACACACAGCCAAGTTAAAATAAAAATAAATAGTCTTGACATAATAATGTTATCCAAATAAAACACTAACATGTAGAGAGATGCAGAGAGAAGGAGGATAGAGGAATGTGCAAGAAGCCACTGACGTGGTCATGATGGTGGGGAGGAGATTAAGGAGAGCTTTCATTTTCCACATTATGCATTTCTATAATGTTTAAATGTTACAATTTTTATATTCCATCTAACTGGAGAATACAATACACATGCCTTAAATAAAGGCAGGGGCTCAGACTACTCTTGTGTCCTCAGTGAAGTCTTTAAAAACACTGAAGAACAGATAATTTCTATTCAATTAAAATGGCTGGTGCTAGCATAAAGAAATTAGATTTGTAGGGCTTCCCTGGTGGCACAGTGGTTGAGAATCTGCCTGCCAATGCAGGGGACACGGGTTTGAGCCCCGGTCTGGGAAGATCCCACATGCCGCGGAGCAACTAGGCCTGTGAGCCACAACTACTGAGCCTGCGCGTCTGGAGCTTGTGCTCCACACGAGAGGCCGCGACAGTGAGAGGCCCGTGCACCGCGATGAAGAGTGGCCCCCACTCGCCGCAACTAGAGAAAGCCCTCGCACAGAAACCAAGACCCAACACAGCCATAAATAAATAAATAATTTTTTTAAAAATGAGTTTTCATCAGAATTTTAAAAAAATTAGATTTCTTTAGTCCTCTTAGAAAAATAGAATTGATTTAAAACCTGATAAAAAGTATGTGCACACATACTTACACACCAACCTTACTTTTGAATGAAAAACTGTGAAGTGTTAATAGAACCTAGAAGTATATAAAAATATCTTAATTTATTAAGAGATAAATTTGGGGAATTTTTTTGAAGGACAGTTCGGGCAACTTTAAATATACACACACAGAATTAAGATGTCAAATTATACACATGTATTTATTTATTTGTTTATTTTTAAAACCACAAAAAAATAAAAACAACCTACCATGAGCAAGTGGGATTTATTGCTGGATATCAAAAGTATTTGATATTAGGACATCAATTAATACAATTTCACACTGCCCATTCAACATCTCCACTTAGATGTCTTAACAGGTATTCAGAGTTAGTGAGTTAACACTGAGCTCCTAACTCTTCCCAACTTCCAGTTGCTCAATCATAAATCCTTGGACTCATCCTAAACTCCTTTATCATACCCCCAAACCAATTATGAAATCCTATCGTCTCTGCCTTCGAAATGTATCCAGGATCTGACCACTTCATACCACCTCAACTGCAGTCACTATCTTTTCTCATATGGGTTTCTTAAATAGCTTCCAAACTGGTCTTCCTGCTTGTCCCTCCTTCCAGTTATTTGACACAGTAGTTGATGTAATCTTGTTTTACAACCTCAGTCAGACCATGCCAGTCCTCTGCTCAAAACCTTCCAATGGCTCATCTCATGAGGAATAAAAGTCAAAGTTCTGGCACTGGTACACACAAAGCCCTATACCATCTGTCACTTCTATCCCCTCTCTGACTTCATTTCCTGCTTCTCTCCTAGCTCACGCTACCAGTTCCTCTGACTTCCTTGTTCCTTCCCCAAAATGACAGGCAAACTTCCTGATCACAGGCCCCTGCCCTTGGCTCTTCTATTAGCTCCATGGTCATTCCCTCACCTCAGGTGTTTTTCTCAAGTGTCATCTTCCTAAAAATAACTTTTATTTAGAAACATACAAGTGACCAAAGAGTCTATCTATTCTTGACTATAACAACAATAAAAAAAATACTGGAATAGGTTTAACTAGAAATTTTAAGCACAAAGCTTAAAGCTATTAATTATTAATATTCTACAGATTAATCTATAATCTTAAACTCAGTAGGTTTTTGGTACAGAAGAGAGAAGAGACAAATGTAACTTAAATAAACTACAAACTGGAAGAATAAATGCCAAGGGGAAAAGTTCCCAGAAATTTTCTGATAAGCAAAGGTAGACGGGAGTGATATGCCCTACCACATTTTAAAAGTTACAGTAATTTGAAAAAATATGCTACTGGTTAAGGAACAGAAAAATTAATTAAACAAAAAGAAAAAATAGATCAATATATATAACATGACAATTTAATGTTTAACACAGGCAATATTTCTAAATGAATTAACTAAAGAAAGGGTCAGGGGGAGATGACTTTTCCAATAAATGAATCAGGGAAATCAAGGTCTGGGGGTGGGAAGAAGTTGGATTCCTACTTCACATCAAAATAAATTCCAAAGGTATTAAAGATTTAAAGATAAAACAAACATGTTTAAACTGTAAAAGAAAAATTATCTGTCAACATACAGTAGTTAAAAGTATGGGCAGGGCTTCCCTGGTGGCGCAGTGGTTGAGAGTCCATCGGCAGGCCACAAAGACTTTATTGAGGGGACGCGGGTTCGTGCCCCAGTCCAGGAGGATCCCACGCCACGGAGCTGCTGGGCCCGTGAGCCATGGCCGCTGAGCATGCGTGTCCGGAGCCTGTGCTCCGCAACAGGAGAGGCCACAACAGTAAGAGGCCCGCGTAACGCAAAAAATAAAAAAGTGTAGGCAATGGGGCCAGGCTGTCTGGGTTTGAGCCCTAACTCTGCTGCTTACTAGCTGTATAACTTTAGACAA